GCAGATGCACAGAGATGGATTTGGAGGCAGTGTGTGAAGAGGAGACGTTATCTATTCTCTCTCTCTCTCTCTCTCTCTCTCTTGCTGATGACACGGCCTGGATTCGGAAGCCGGCTGTCGCTCTCTCGCTCACTCGCTCACAAGCCGTGTGATGTTTCTCCCACAGTATTCTGTGCAGACCTGTCGAAAGGTGACCTTGTACCGAGACACATTTACCCTGCGCTTCACGCCAGTGACTGACTGACTGACTGGTTTGTTCAGTGATGGAATGGACATTTTTGACGTATCGCCCGTATAACACTGAAGCCCGGCTGTTAGCAGAGGGACACAATAACGTTCTCGTTCCACTCGATGATAATAATAATAATAATAACAAACCTTATATCTGATACAGTGCCTTATCACATCTTTGAGACGTCTCAAAGTGCTTCACAGGATACACTGTAAAGTGAATTGACTGTAATTTGTGGGCGAAACGTGGCAGCCAATTGCGCACAGCGACGTCCCCACAAACAGCCGTGGATTGGGTGACCAAATCGTTTTTTTTAAGGGTTTATTAACCCCGGAAAGCGATCTGTAAACAGAGGCGCGTGTATGTGGAGTAAGGAAACTTGCCTAAGGTTTTGGCCCTCCCCGGGAATCAAACCCAGGTCCTCTCGCCTGTGAGGCGAGTGGTCCAACCGCTCCGCTATGGGACCCCACTTTGAGCCACTGTGTAGCTCGGAGCAGGCCCGACCTATACCGTGTTATTATAGTACATTCAGTGAAGGGATGTGTCGGGCTGCGTGCTGGGTTTAACCCCCGCAGGTGATCGGATTGTTGGCAGAAAGCACCATGTGGTGAACGAGTTATTATTGATGTGCACAAAATGAGCCTCAGTGTCTGTGACAGAATGGAACGGGAATAGCCTGAGGTTAGCACTGGGCTCCAATTACAAAACTTGTCCAAACCATCTCACTTTACTGGCACAAAAAGGCGCATCTTTGGGGTGAGAAATTAAATTGAATCACGGGCCCTTGATTTCCCCCCCCCCCCCACACCCCCCCCACCCATCCAAAAAAGATATTCGTCTGGACAAATCGAGTCTGTTTCACCATTCTATAAGATCATGGCTGTTCTGTACCTCAACTCCAATTATCCGTCCTTGCCCCATATTCCCCGATACCCTGACCTAACAAATTTGCTCAGCCACGAATCATTCCCACCCTCCTCTGTCTCTCTCCGTCGATTCCGTCAATTTTCTTCACCGGATCGCCGGCTAAAAGTCGCTGACGCATTGTGTCTCCAATCGCCTGATCCATGTATTCGACATTCTCTGTGTGAAATGAGCCATGTATGACTTCCTCGCTTGCTCACAATCTCCCTCGAGGGTTAGAATCCCATCACGCTATACATTGGAAAAGAGAAGGGAGTTTCTCCCAGTGTCCTGGCCAGAATCCGCACAGCTGTCCATTTCATTCGTAGACTTTTCGCCCACGAATTACACAGTCACTGCACTTTAAGCGCTTTGAGCTGTCTCGAAGACATGATAAGGCACTACATCAGATGCAAGGATGATTATTATTACAAATATTTCTCGGACTTTGCTGTGAAAGCGCTCCGAGACGCTGCCCTGCTCGAAGGGCACTATATGAATGCAAGTTGTTGCTGTTGTATGCAAAAATTGGCTGCTACTGTTTCCGTACAAATGTGTTTCCGTACAAATGTGTTTCCGTACACACTTAAGGGGTAAAGTCTCCACAGTCAGACAGTTGGGACTTAAAGGTGCTGTATTGAATGCAAGGATGATTATATTATCAGCAAATTAATGACCGAATGAAAAGAGTTGACTATCTCAGCTGAGTTAGCGGTGGTGCAGGATTGACTTTTAATTGCTCTGGGATTGTCAAGGGCTCTGGGACGCTACGCTGCGTGAGGGGCGCTATATAAATGCAAGCTGTTGTTGTTGTTGCGTGTCCTTTGGTTGCACTTAGAGTGTTGTGGGTTCAAACCCCACGTTCGGGCATTGAGTTCCCCCATCTGGACTGACTTGTCAAAGTGCTTCACACAGCTGACTGGGAGCCCGAATTAGCAGTCGTGGGGGAGGAGGGGAACCCAGAGAAATTGTTGGGAGGAGGGTGGGGGGCGCGGGGAGGGTAGTGGGACGTCGGGGGGGGGGGGGGGTAGAAGAGGGAAAGCTGACCGAAACACGCATTGGTAAAGCTACGTCCTTAACGCGGGCTTTAAGTGTCGAGCGGGAAGAGACGGAGTGAATTACCGATTGATTATGATGTTTGCACACAAGATGTGTCAAAACACTTGAGGGGTTGCAGTGTACCATGATATAAACTGCAGTGTTGAAATACAATCTCTTTTCAACATGGGGATCCACAGCCAGATACCCCGCAAGCTAATGATTGGCGAGGTGGCAGCTTTCTGTTTGTGTGCCTGCATTTCCGTGGCCTGTGATTGTTTCTCTGGGGGAGGGAGGGAGAGTGGAGTGTGTGTGTGTGTGGGGGGGGGGTGGGGGGGGGGGGCGAAAACGGGGCTCTGGGGTGGTTTGGGGATTAAACCTCTCCTCTCCTCTCGAATCCGAGAGTGATTGCAGTTAAGTCAGTGGTCTTTTGATTGCTCGAAGCTAAGGTTAAGGTGTAGAGGGCTATGGAGTCAGTCTTACAATAATAATAATGATGATAATTTGTGTGCTTGACTTAGCCCTTGTGAAGTCAAAGCATCTCAAAAACACTTTCACCAGGATTAGGAACAGTTGGAGGCCATTCAGCCCCTTGAGCCTGTTCCGCTATTCTATTAGATCAGGGCCGATCTGTACCTCAACTCCAATTACCGGTCTTTGCTCCATATTCTGTGAGGAGCCTTGAACTGTCTCAACGACGTGATAAGACGCTATATCAAATGCAAGGATTATTATTATTATAAATACAAGTTGTTGTTGTATTTCTAAGAATAATAATTTATAATAAGAATAATCTGAAGGAAGCCCATTAGAAAATACTGCAAATAAAACCCTGTTCTCCAAGGTTGTTTTACACGTTAAGCTCTCACTGTCTCTCTGGACGGGTCTCAACTCCTCTCATCGTTTCCTCTGTTGGGCCTGCGTGATGGACCTTGGCTCTTTAACCTGGCAGTGCCGATTAATGACAAACCATGGCAATCTGATCAAAACCTTGTGGAACGCTCGAGCGTCGAAATATGCGCCACAAAGCTGAGTGCAGCTGTTACCAGAGGACATCACAGGACAGGACAGGACAGTGTGGGTTGGAAGCTGCTTGATAACCTGGCTTTAACCTGGAGAAGCACCAAAAGATGGAGAGGAACGCACTCCGAATTATTCTGTATTAACTCTCCCGTCCTGCTGACCAGAGCTGCTACGGGTTTGTGCTGTGTTTAGTTATGGAGCCCCGTAGCTTAGTGGATAAAGCACTCGCCTCGCAAGCGAGAGGACCTGGGTTTGATTCCCAGGTGGGGTGAAACCTTAGGCACGTTTCCTTACTCCATACTCCTTGTTTCCCTGGCGGTACGTAGGAACCCGGTTGTTAGCCAATTGACCGATCGCTTTCCTGGGGTAATAATCTCTCTCAGAAAAATATTTGGTCCCTCAATCCACGACTGTTTGCGGGACGCTGCTGTGGAGAATTGGCTGCCACGTTTCACCCACAAAAATATATCCTTTACGTTACAATTCCGTGAAGCGCTTCGAGACGTCTCGAAGACGTGATGAGGGTCTATATCAGATGCAAGGTTTATAATTATTATTATTATTATTGTTATTATTAAGGGTTATTATTTGTGGACAAAAGCAGTAAATGTTGGGGTTTAGCAGAAGCCGGAGAGGCTGATCAGTTGCCAAACGCTGTTCCTGTACGGCACGGCCACGGTCATGATCCTCGGCCAGTAAGGTTCCTTCCAGCTGTTCACACATCTGGTTTGGGTTTGAGACACTTGCCTGGCTGCCTCTCTAACGATGTGTTCCGATACCTGATGCTCTGGAGTGGAATTTTTGGAATGCCAATGTTTTCGCAACCCAAGGAATGTTGCTCTTATCTCTCTCTACACCCCCCCCCCCCTCCACCCCACCGCTCCCCGCCACCCCCCTGCTTGCTCAGTAGCGATCGCTATCAACTCTGTTTGATCTGTAGAGCATTTGATCGTACATACATTGCCTGCTCAGCATTATCTACCACCCACAGCTGACGCTTGCAATGTTATTTTCGAGCCCGATTGAGTCGCGCAGTAGGTTTTTATTTTGGGCAGAACTTGCAAATAGTTTGGATTTGGAGGCTCCGAGGCCTGAAATTCCGCCCGGTCTCAACCCCGCAGAAATGCGGTAGAGTTCTTAATTCGGACGCCGAAATTTCTCTCCAAAGACTCCGCGGGAAAAAAATCGACCTCCTTCCGAAATGGGCCCCGAGCTTTTAAGAGTTTCCCGCAATTCTGTGCCGTCTTAAGAAACCGTAGGCTGAGACCGGGTGGAATTTCCGGCCCAGGAATACTCCCCACGACCTCAGCCCTCGGGGTCAATTCCTCCTCGAGTTGGAAGGTTGCGCGGAATTGCGGGAGCATCCTACAGTCGGAGGTCGTTTTTCCGTGAGTTCCCGGTTTCCGTCTGTGAGCGCTCTGGGGTGCTACCCTGTGCGAGGGGGCGCTGTGTGAATGCAAGTTGTTGTTGTTGAATGTAGCTTCGCTGGGAGTGGAATGAAAGGCCGGAACACAACCCCTGAGAGATGCGTCTCTTCCTGTTTCACCACCGTTCCCAGTGTAGGTCACAGCCACACGTCTGTTTGCTAACCATCTGGAACTGCTCGTCTCCGAAGTCGGCTGCTTTGCTGTTGGCAGCAACGGGTCCCGGGAGCCAAGCGAGTCCCGGGCTTTGCGATGTTCCCTACGTTGATAATCCTCGGGGTTGGGAACCGGCGTGAGCAGCGCCGAGATCTCGGCCCTCGCTCGGGTCAGGAAGGAGCAGTGACTCGGTGCTGATCGTTGGCTTGTGCTTGGTTTTTCAGTCACAATGAAAGGGCTACCAGCTTCAAGCACCCAGTGACGGGAGTGGTGCCCATCGAGAACTGCATCTTCACCTTGGAGGACAAGTAAGCTCTCTCGTGTTCTGTTAACCTAGTAATAATAGTGATAGCTCCGCTCCCCTCCCCCCCNAGCCCACCCTGTGACAAGTTAAGCCCTTCCAAGCCAGAGTGAGCAAACGTGTGATCACTGTGTACCTGCGTGATGTCGGGCGTGTGTGTGCGCGTGCGTGCGCGAGTGTGGGTATCTGTGTGTGCGTGAGTGTGCGCGAGGGCGTACCCGTGTGATCACAGCCGTGTGGTCCGGTCTGCGTCCCGCACCTTGTGGGTTCCGTTCGCGTGATGGCGCGCGTGTTGTTATTTCAGGCCGAAGCCTGCCATGTCGTCCCGAGGCCGCGGGGAAGGAGGGAACCGACCGACCAGTATCGCCAGCGAGATGTCCAACCAGACTCTGGTATCGGAAACCTCCGGGGAGCAGAGCCACGGCAGAGTGAGCGCCTCACAGCACAGCACCTCACCGCACAAACACCAGCCGTGTTGCCGGGCACCCATGGGGTACAAAAACCCCAGCACGGCCTAGTGGGGGCCGAAGGGTCCATTTCCTTGCTGTAACATTCTGCGTAGCAGGCGTTTGTTATCGAGCCTAAAATGTCTCTCTGGGTAATTGCTTTCGAGTGCAGTGACTGTGTATACAGGGAAACGTGTCATCCAGTCTTTTTTCGTCCCGGCGTCGGAGAGCTCTGTGGATTGTGATTGGCCTCTCGGCTTATTTTAGGATCGTCGCTGGCGTCAGGAAGTGCTCCGGTTTGCGTGGAAGCTGGCGCTCGCTTTCTTTCGACGGGTTTCTTTCTGGTTCGGTGGTTACCCTAATTAGCTCTGTCCTCGTTCCAGCACAGCTTCCTTGGAAGCCACATGTGTCAGCCTGGCACAGCGTTAGGGCTTTCGCTTCTGAGTCAGAAGGTTGTGGGTTCAAATCAGAACCCCCCCCCCCCCCCCCCGCCATGTCAGGACTTGGAATCACGTTGTCTAAGACGACTCTCCAATGCAGCGCTGGACGTGTGTTGCATTGTCGGAGGTGCCGTCCTTCGGATGAGCCATTAAACCGAGGTCCCATCTGCCTGTTCAGATGGATGTTAAACATCCCGCCGTGCTATTCGAAAACAACAGCAACAACAAGATTCCATTTATAGAGCGCCTTTCACGTCGGGAGGACGTCACAAGGCGCTGTACAGTTGGGTCAGGACCCGAGCCGGGGGGAAATGGTCAGGGTGAGGGGAGGGAAGGGAGGGAGTGAGGAGGGAGTAGAGCTTCTCTTTCCCGGTGGTCTGGCCAACAACTTTCGCCCACAAAATACACAGTCGCTCCACTTTACGCTGTATTCCATGAAGCGCTTTGAGACGTCTGGATGACATGATGAGGCGCTATATCCAATGCAAGGATTATTATTATTGTTGTGGCTGTTGGTGGGACACTGCCGTGCGCGAATTGGATGCCGCTTCCGTCTACAAAACTACGCAGTGGCCTCCGCTTTACAGTGAATCCTGCGAAGCGCGTGCTCCTGAGCTGACATGTCAAACACGTGGTTCGATCGATGGTCTCCTGATCGTGTCTCCCAGCAGGCGTCCAGGTCCTCGAAGAAAGGGGTCGTCTTCGGCAAGAGGTCAAACTCCATGAAGAGGAACCCGAAAGCCAACGTTACCAGGCGTGGGTGGCTGTATAAGCAGGTACAACAACAACAGCAACAAATGACATTTATACGGTGCCTTTCGCGATGGGAGGATGACTTAAGGTGCTGGACAGTCAGGGATTTGGACCCGAGCTGGGGGTTGGGAATCACGAGGGGGTGGAGGCGCGGTCGAAGAGGAGGGTCTTGAGACAGGCTTTCAAGGAAACGGGGTGGTGGTGGCGGTGGTGGGTGAGGGGGGGGAAGAGGCGAAGGGACTGTGGGATGGAGATCGAAAGGGTGTGGGGGGGCAGAGAGGCTGAATGCTTCGACCCCCAAACTCTTGGGACGCAACTGTTCCGTGGGCTGAGAGCGGGTGGAATTGTGGGGTGGCTCCGAGAGAGGGAAGAAAGGCGAGATGAGGCGGCGCAAACAACATCAAAACAAATCCCCGCTGTTTAACCCTGCTGCTGCTGTGCTGTGTTTGACAGGCGAGCTCGGGGGTGAAGTCGTGGAACAAGCGTTGGTTTGTGTTGGCTGATCGCTGCCTGTTTTATTACCGAGGTGAGAACCCCCCTCGCTCAGCTAATGTCCCGTTGCGTCGTGGTTAGCAGCGCTCGCGAGCGAGCGAGAGGACCTGGGTTCGAGTCCCGGACAAGATTCCTTGCTCCTTACACTCACGCCTCTGTTTACCCGGCCGGAAAGGCACGAACGGATTAACTGCAAAGGTCTTAAGAACGTATAAGAGCCTGCGAGGCGAAAGAAGACCAAGTTCCGTCCATTCCTCCGTCCACCATCCTGGCATTCAGTCAGTCGCTTGACATGTCGTGTCCCAAACTATACACCGTATCCCGTCTTTGTTCCATTCAGATGAGAAGGAGGAGGCTGTTCTGGCCAGTATCCCACTCTTTAGCTTCCGAATCAGCTCAGTGCAGCCCACGGACAACATCGCCCGCAAACACGCTTTCAAGGTAATGGGAACCCCTCTCGGAACAGTTTTTTCCTTTCTTTAATACAAATGGACGGACGAACGGACGGACGAGAGTTCTAGAATGTCCTCCCAGCCATCGCCACGCGTTGCTTACGATCCGCTTCTCGTTCTCTTCTGGAACCTTCGTGCTCTCTCGGGAGAGGCGACGCTACTTATAAAGTTCACGTTTAGCGATTGGTTGTCAACTCCCCCCCTCCACCGCTCCCCTCTCACCCCCACCCTCCCCGCTGCTCTGTTGGTCTCAGTCTGGTGCTCACTGTCTTTGCCGAGATTTCAGATCAATTTCAGCTGTGTGTCTGTGTGTGTCTGTGTGTGTCTGTGTGTCTGTGTGTGTCTGTGTGTCTGTGTGTGTCTGTGTGGGGTCATTGAGGTGCTGCTCACCCAGTCTCCGTGTCCAGTGGAGGGATTGTTAATTACTCTGTGCCCCTTTTCCTCCGTTTCTTGTCACAAAACACGGAGTCACTCCACTTTACAGTCTATCCTGTGAAGCGCTTTGAGACGTCCCAACGACATGATAAGGCGCTGCATCAAATACAAGAATTGTTATTATTATTATTCTACTCCCCGTAGCGCAAAGCGGGCGCTTCACCTGCAACTTCTGGAGGGAGCTCACGAGTTACACAGTGTGTGTAATGAGCACTAGGATCCTATTTCAGTCCAAAAGCAGGTCGTGTCCCACTTAACACTGCTCCCCGAGGCAGGGACTGTGCTCTTCAGTGAGACCCGTTTAATGGGATTCAGTAATTCAGTAACAAGCGAGAGGTAGCGTGGACTGATTTACTCGTCCAGGTTTTCGGAGACCAGCAGCCGCCTTCTCTCCCTCACCAACACGTGCTCTCATTTCCGATCGCGCCTGTTTTGTCCAGCGCTGTGAGACTCGTCTCTCTCTCTTTTTTTAGAAACAGAGGAGTAGGCCATTCAGCCCCCCGAGCCTGTTCCTCCGTTTTATAAGGTCCACCCTTATATCCCTCGACACCCCACCCGCGCCTCCTTCAAGGCCCGCCTCGAGACCTTCCTTTTCGACCGCGCCTTCGGACATCTTCTCTCCTTCCAACCCCCTCCACATTACCCCCCTCCCCCACACCCCCCCAACATCCATCTCTGACCCCAACTCCCAGCTGAAAGGCGCTGTGTAAATGCAACTTGTTGTTGTTGTTGTTGATGTGTTTTCTCGTGTGTACAGCTTCGGTCCCGTGGGCGCAGTAACACAGACTCCCCTTGGTTTCTCCCCCTACAGCTGATTGTAATCAGACAGGCAGAGGTTTTTCTCAATAATGATCGTTCCATTGATCACCAGGCTGAGCACGCAGGTATCCGCACTTATTACCTGTGCGCTGAGAACAAGGCTGAGATGGAGGCTTGGATCAACGCCATGAACGAAGCCGCCAGCGTGCAGGCGCAGCCCCCGCAAAGGTACGCTTCAACCGCGGCTCTGTTACAGGGAACAGGATGAGGCCATTCAGCCCCTCGAGCCTGTTCCGCCATTCGATTGATTCGGTCATGGCTGATCTGGACCTCAAGTCCATTTAACCGCCGGGGGTGGGGGGCGGAGGAAGTTGGTCACTAAATCCACGACCGCTTGTGGGACGTCGCTGTGCGCAATTGGCTGCCGCGTTTCGCCCACAGAACGCACAGTCATTACACTCTACCGTATATTCCGTGAAGGGCTTTGAGATGTCTCGACGGCGTTATGAGGCGCTGCGTCTAATGGGCAGATTATTATTATTATTATTATATTATCTTTTATTATTCTGATCGTTAGAGCGCTAGAGGTTCATGTGGGCGGTCGCACATCTGTCTCTCTTGTCAGGATCGAGGCGAGTAGTGAGAAGAGGACAGCGGCAGACGAGAACCACGTGAGCAATCACAAGCGACTCATCAAGCCGGACATGGGCAGGGTCAGGGGGGACGCACACGGGTTCGGAGTTGAGAGGTACGAGAGGAAGACAGACCGCAGGGCGTTGGGCAGGGAGTCGGGCAGGGAGTCGGGCCAGGAGCCCGCTCCACCCAAGGTCAATGGCACAGTGCTGCCGGAGGCCATCTCCGACCCCAACAGCCCGGGGCCCGAGCTGCGGAGCGCCGCGGGCAACCACCGTCCCGCCCAGCCCAACGGCCACAACGTGCAGCAGCACCCGTCCCCGGGTGGAGGCCGGGCAACGCCAACCCACTGCAGGACAACGCCGTGCACCGGCGCGGCTTTGTCCCCCGCACCAGCACTGAGAAGCAGGCGCAGAGGCAGTCCTCGCTGTCGCAGCTCCAGCAGTGGGTGGACCAACGCAGAGGAGGACCACCGTCAGATGGGTTCAGGAGGTGAGACACCCTCAACTGTTAGTCAGCCGCTGGGTATAGCTGCCATTGGGCTGTATAAAACCTTAAGCAAGTTCCCTTTACGTTTCACTCGCCCCTCTTTGTTTACCCGGTGGTAAGTAGGAACCCCGGTTGTTGGTTGATTGGAGGATCGATCGCTTTCCCGGGGGGGGAGGTAATAATTCCCTCAAAAAAAAAGGGGTCACTGAATCCAGGACTGGTTTGTGGGCACGCTGACGGGCGCAATTGGCTGCCTTGTTTCGCCCACAAAGTACACAGTCACTGCACTTTACAATATATTCTGCGAAGCGCTTTGAGCCGCGATATCAAATGCGGGGAATATTATTATTATTACTATTATTATTTTTATTATTACTCCCAGCTTTCGACTGATTTGCACTTGCGCTAACTGTACCTATTCCCTTCAGTCCTCAGGGCTACCACACTCCAACCAGAGGCACCCCGGATTACCCTGGTCAGTTTACGCCCTATTACCAGGAGGACTTGTCCCAGTTTTACCAGGTGGACGAGCGGCCGGACAGCATATCCTCAGTGCCCATGTACGACAGGACCACGGTGGTGTGGTCGATGGAAGACAGGAGCAGGTCCGTGCGGGCGCCCGCCTCCTTCCAGCTGAGAGATCACCAGGTGTTCAGCGGGCAGGGCTCCCCTGTCTGGCACGGAGGCGGGCACCAGTCGTACGTCAGCGAGATGGACCATGTGGCCGAGTCCCTGAGGAGGTTCGCCCTGCAGCCACGCTCCCGCTCCGTGCCTCGCTCCCCCTCACAGGGACCGCTGGTCACCGGTCGCATGTACTCTCCCGTCAGGTCTCCCAGCGCCAGGATGGACAGGTTGCCCCCGAGACGGGAGGAGATGATGGGTGACCCAGTTTACACTCTCAGACGCTCGCGCAGCAATAAGGTAACCGTTCCCCGCACCGCACAGCTCCGCACCGGGAGATGGTGGGAGCAGAAAGTGTTGCTTCCTTCAGATGCAAATTAGATTGATTTCTTTTAGAGAATAATATATTGGGAAACATTACAGCGAAGGAATAAATTGAGACATGACATGCAGCAAGCGTAGTATGGCTTGGAAAATAACCGGGCAACTTTGGATCTAAGGTTCCCAAAGTTTCCCACTCTGTGGCACTCTAATCCGTACAATAAAAAATGTGTTCACTCAAACCACGGCATTTGCCCCCAAAATACACAGCCAATGCACTTGACAATATATTTTGTGAAACCCTTCGAGACGTCTGAACGACGTAATAAGGCGCTATATCAAATGCAAGGATTATTATTTAGTACCATTCACATCCCCTGCGTGTACAAAAACACACAGTCACTACACTTTACGGAAAATCCTGCGAAGCACTTTGACACGTTCCCCTGATGCGAAAGGCGCTGTATCAAATTGTTTTAACCTTTGTTTTTTCTTGCGTTGCTTTACTCACATTGGGTTGGACAATAAGATGACGATGGGGATGGGGTGGGGGTGGATGAGAATGAGACCCGGTGTTAATGGGCTGTTGTCCTCTTTGCCTTTTGACAGTATGATTATCCTGGAGACCGAAGATCCTTACCATCGCCAATGTACTCTTTGCCTTTCTCCGTGTCCCCCTCGCTGCAGGACAGAATGGTACGTTGGCGCCAATGATCAGTCCTAAGCAGGGCCGAGCCGAACTGGCCCTGCGAGGGGGCTGTGATCACCATTCAGGGCTTGATGTCCACAGTACTCAAGTAGAGATGTATTGGAGTAGAGATTTATCTGAGTGCAGCCAAGCCAATGCCAATTTCTTTTCATATAACTTTCCAACAATAAGTTCCATAATCTTCGACCCACGGCAGCGAGTTCCACATTCTCATCACCCTCTCTCTCCGCGCACGTGAAAAAGTTCCCGATAAACGCCTTCCCCCGTGCGAGCCGCTAACTTTCTTATTATTTGTGCAATTTTAATCACGTTCACTATGAAACCTTCTCCTAGTTTACTAACCGTCTGTTTCCTTCCCCTTGAATAACGTTACCTGTTTTCTCTCGGTTTCTCTGCTGTCTAACTCTGTGACTCCTTTTCCCCCCTCGCCACCCCCCCCCACCCCGCCTGCTGTTGGTGTGACAGGATCATATCCTTGACCTTCAGTTACAAAGGAAGCTGGAATTTTTGGACCAGCAGGTGGGATTCTGTGCTAGTTAACTAACTCCTCTGACCTTCATTTCCCCATTGGCCAAAGGCCAAGTGACAAGGTTGTGTGTCCAGGCGGTTTGAGTGTAACCCAGAGCAAGCCAGGTTCCAAGGCAACAGGTCCTTAAGACCTGATTAACCCACAAGGCCGAACACTTAGGGGATAGATCGACGGCCAAGTTGTTAAGAAATACATGGGTTTCAAGTGGAGGGAAGTGGCTGAAATATTGTGGGTAAGACCGAGAGGAGGTTACATGGAGCAGGACAGAAATCACTGTTAATTATCCCCCTCCTCACTCTGAAATCCTTGGCATTTCCACTTAGGACGAGAAACCAAAGCCCGTTTGCTCTGAGGGGGCGAATATTTATTTGGCTTCTCGGTCTCGATCAGGATCTTGCGCTTACCAAACTGACTTTCGCAAGGGTTAAAGCCAACCTCGAGATGTCTGAATAGTGAAGCATTACTTGTTTTAAGCGATCCATTTAATGATAATAATAATAATAATAATTTGGTCACTCAGTCCCCGACTGTGTGTGGGACGTCGCTGTGCGCAATTGGCTGCCGTGTTTCGCCCACAAAATATACAGTCAATTCGCTTTACAGTGTATCCTGTGAAGTGCTTTGAGACGTCTCAAAGACGTGATAAGGCGCTGTATTATATTATTATCTACCCAGTTAGCTGCAGGGGATGCCAGAGCACAGTGATAATGGGAATCGGGGGGGGAAGTTGTGAGCGAGGACACCCTTGTCTTCGAGGACGTCGTAAACCTTGTTGCTTCTCCTTTGCGTATTCTTCAATGGTCTTCACCGGCATCCTGTGAACCTACTGCACACCAACACCATGCATTGATCTCACAGAATCGGAGCCTTTTAGCTGCAGTGTCATTTGAATCAAGCTTGCATCCACCAAACCAAACCAAACCCTCCCGCCACTGATTCATTCCGAACATTTCGAATCCTACAGAACACAGCGAAACCACTCCACGGCTTAGAGACTCCCTATTTGTTTATTTGTTTTTGTTTGTGTATGTATGTGCACCATTGGTTGCTGTGCTTCACCCACAAATTACACAGTATATCGATCCACTTTACAGTATATTTTATGAAGCGCTTTGAGACGTCTTAAGGATGCGATAAGGCGCTGTATCAAATGCGAGGATTATTATTATTTTTTATATCCTCGGCTCTCTAAACGCTCCATGTGCAGCAGTTATTGAAGGGAACAGGTTTAACTGGGCTTTAATGAGTATTGACAACTAACTGTCTGGAATGAGCAATGGTAACCGAGGTGACTAGAGCTGGAGCTCATCGTCTGCTAACAGCAGAGTTTGCAAATGCATCGCCAGCGTCTGAAACGAGAGGCTAAGGCTCTGTCCCTGATTGAAGTGCCTCATGTAGTGAGAGAGCTGAGCTTTACTCCAGACTGACTCTGAAGCCATTGAGCGCTCATTCCTTGAAGCCATTCCTTGAAGCCGTAACTCGGTTGCCAAGTGTCTCAACTTCTCAACCGCAGTCCATGTGATTTAGAATGAGGGGGTTTGCATTCTCAGTCCCTGAGAGATTGTAATCGCAGCTGCTCCTACCCTATGAGACTGTTTTGCCATTAAAATTCTTATCTCTGAGGTCTGTTCTTTTAAAGAACAGCGTTGAAGTGCCTTCCGAACAAAGACAGCATTGTAGACATTTCCTCTGTTTTGGTGAGGCGTTAGATTTTGAGACAAAACAGTCACGGCCTAAGATAGGGTGGGATTTCCGGTTGTTTCGGACTCTTAACGACGTTTCGAAAACGATGGATGGGATATTTTGGTAGAGGCCATTGAACTGCACACTTAATTCTTCTGTAACATGTTATTGCTGGTTGATACCCATTAAACAATTGGCTGCCACGTTTGGCCCGCAAAATACACAGTCACTACATTTTACAGTGTATCCTGTGAAGCGCTTTGAGACGTCTCGAAGACGGGATAAGGCGCTGTATCAAATGCAAGGATTATTATTATATTAACCGGTGTTAATGAACACAGCCCGGCCACCCTCAGAGTAAGTGCCTTCATTGATACCATCGCCAATGGGCTTTGTAAAGTGTTGCAACCTGTTTGTACCTTTCAACTCCTGAGCCACTGACCCGCAACGTGTCGCACGGGTCTGATCTAATCCTGACCTCGTGCCTGTGCTTTTTGTCTTGATCAACATAGATCAATGAGAATCAGTGTGTTATCAACATGGTTCACAGAATGCTAGAGAACTCGTCCCTCAGAGCTCAGTTGTACATGCAAGTAAGAGCATGGCTGTTAGCTGTGTCCAGTTCCACGCTGTCGACGGTAGATGTGCAGTAGTTGAGAGCTGTCTGCGATCACCCTGCCACACTTACCCCCACTTCGCAACCTGGCCAGCATTTCACAAACTGTTCAGGGCACGTTGGCTGTGTCTTCATGTGTTGTTCACGTGTTATTGTGCGTGTGTGTTACTGCGCTTGTGTGTGTGTGTGTTACTGTGTGTGTGGGTGTGTTATAGTATGTGATTATATTGTGTGTGTATATGTGTGTCTTGTGTGTGAGTGTATTATGTGTGTGTTACTGTGGGTGTGTTGTGTGTTACTGTGTGTGTGTTGTGTGTTACTGTGTGTGTGGTGTGTTGTTAGTGCTTTTCATGTTGTAACATCTTCCCAATCTCTGTTTGCCGGGTCCTCAATCCTCTGAAGGGCTTCATCCAGCCCAGTCACTGCAGCTTTGATGAAACTCTTGTGAATCCGCTACACATAGTACATCTTCTTGTTTTATCCTTAATCTCATCTCATCATTACACGTTAGTTAGTTGGTTAGTTAGTAAGTTAGTTGGTCAGTTGGTTGGTTGAATAGTTAGTTATTGCTGCCTTCTGCCTCCTCTCACATTGTAAATTTGTTGTTTCTCCTCTATTTACTCCCTTTCCCCATTTTCCTTTGGGCCGAACAAATTGAATCTTCAGTATTCCTAGTTAATTTGACAGATTCCCCCCACCATTAGACACTCAAATTTCCATCATAGTTGAGCAATGACAAAGCTTTTTGATGCGAGGCATTTAGTGTCCATTGCTTGGCTTGTGATCATATTGGCGTGGCCAATATGCGTGCAATGGTTTGGGGTCTTATCTGGGTAAAGTTTCATTAATATTGCAATTTCTCCAAATTACAGGGTTGAGCAAACATGTTTAATATCATCTGAGATCTCTTTGGGGGTCAGTAACCTGTTCCTCCTGAATCAGTTTGTGAAATGACAGCCAAAACGTTTTCTCCGCATGCTTTCGCCACGATGGTCAGACTGTCTGAAGTACTTGTTGTGTAAAATGTGTGTAAGTGAGTGTGTGTGAGTGAGTGTGTGTGTGAGCGAGTGTGTGTGTGTGAGCGCGCGTGTGTGTGTGAGCGAGTGTGTGTGTGTGAGCGCGCGTGTGTGTGTGAGCGCGCGTGTGTGTGAGTGCGTGTGTGTGTATGTGTCCTATAAATATCTGTGCAAGATGTGTTTGGAGTGTACACATGGAGTGTACATGTGTTGTGTGTATGTATGTTTACCTATAGGTACGCTGTATGTCTGTGTGTTTTATCCTTGTATATCCTAGTGCCTTGGGATGTCGTCGCGACGTGAAAGGCATTGTATAAATGTAATTTGTTGTTGTTGTAGCAGTTGTTGTTGTAGCTGTTGTTGTTAGTTGTGTGAAACAGCTGATTGCGAATGAGCACTGTTCCAATCGACACTTGTTTCTCGGTTATTCGCCAATGTTTCTCTGTCGACGAGTGACCATGTTATTGTCGCTGTAGCTTGTCTGTTAGGTTTGATGTCTGTGACGTTCTTTGTGGAGTTATAATGAAGTGACTGATTTATGCGCCGTTTCATGGCGTGTGGTAACGATTTTTCCACCCAGCGTCAAGACTTTATTTTAATTCCCCTCTGACAACTGTCTCTTGTCTGAGGCAGGAAGACACTAACTGGAGTATTGCCTCCCAGTGCTTTATCTCTCCATGATCATTGGCCTGCTATTGGTTTGGGGGGAGGGGGGGAGTGGGGAGGCTACAGCATCCCCTGACACACTCACGCACACCCAGGACCCTTAAAGCCCTGGGCTTTGGGCAGTGATCAGGAGAGGAGATTGTGGTTCAATTGCTGTCGCACTAGCTCATGGTGACTGAGGCCAACTCTTGCTCCTCTCTTAACACCCTTGAGATCAGCTAACTCAGGGCTACTGAAGAACATTGCTGAGATGATCTTCTCTTCCTTAAAGGGACAAATCTTCCCTATCTTTGGGCTTCAATCTCAAAGTGATAATCTATTGCATAGCTGCTGCTTAGGTGATTGAAGATATCAGTCTTAGATATTAACTGCTCTATTATTACTCTATGTGTGTGTGTGTTTGTCTGTCTGTCTGTTTGTTGGGTGGGGGGGTAGAGAACTACATTAGGAATGGAAGAAATCATGGCTTTGTAGTCAGTGACCTTGGGTTGAAACGTTGACCTTCAAAATAATTTAGACATTGAAGCATCAATGAAGTTGGGGCTGAATGTTTTTTTTTGGGTGGGGAGGGGAGAAGCTCTAGCTACGAGTTCTGAATTTAAACCGAGTTCAGTCCAAGTCCTGAGCCATGTTCGGGAGCTGATGGTATGAATTTGCCAGTGGGTCAGAGGGTTTTCAAGTCCAATCCTGCAGAATCCTGTCGCGAACTGCTGTATAACCCGGGGTAGTTGTCGGATCGGGAGAATGTGGGTGGAAAAGCAAACATAAAGTTAGCAGCAGATCAGCGATTTTCAACAAGTGCCATGGTTGACCCTCTTGTCTATTGGTGATTCCAGGCTCCGTATCAGGACCAGTACCTGAACCCTCTGCACCTCTACAAACCCAACGACTTGGAAATCGACGTAAGTTTGTCATTTGCATCCCAACTCCTTAGAAGAGCATTAGACTGAAGGGCTAGGCATCGAGTTGGGGGTGAATTGCAGTGTCTGAGCTGCGAGACGTTACCACTGATGGTACGTTAAGCCCTGACTTTAAGTCTCCTTTTCCGCGGGAACTAAGATACCCACCCGGTGGGCGGGCGCCAGCCAGATTCCTGACGTCTCTCGCAGCCTCAGCCTTGACACCCTCATCTTAAAACCTTGACGCACCGTTTGCAGGACAGTTTTGCTCACAAAATTCACAAGCGCTTCGAGACGTCTCAACGGCGTGATAAGGCGCTATGTCAAGTGCAAAGATTATTATTCTATGAGGAATGTTAATATATGTTATATTAACCTGTTATTTTCCTAAAGCGGTCTCGTTTGCTGTCTAGGAATCGCGCTCTCTTCCCTGGGAGTGAATCGAGTGACCGAATCCTGCCTAACCTGCTGGCTTTCTTTCTGTCTCTCTCTCTCTCTCTCTTTCTCTCTATTTCTGTAACAGAAGCTGCTGAGCCGGCTTTGCGAGCAAACCAAGAACCAACGAGAACAGGAGAAGTGGGTCCTGCAGCTCCGAAAGGAGAAGGTACCTTTGCAAAAGAATTTAAGGGTGGAGCCGTGCGGCTGCAAATTCTCAACCCAAGCCCCGATGGGTAGGGTGGTCCTAGCTGGACAAGCAGCGGGAAAGCTTGACGGACAGCGCTATCGACGGAAAAGCTTATGCGGTTTTAGCTGGCTAGCACTCCGAGCGTAAAAGGCATTATATAAATGCAAGTTGTTGCTGGTGTTAGACTCCAGCAGCTACCCCAACACACACTAGGTGGAATGTCAGTTACCCCAGTACAGTTTTGTTATCATAAGTCCCCACCTGGTGAGAAGTTGGGACGGCAGATGGGAATAGAAGCTCAGACGCAGTATCTCCTGCTAACGTTTCTTTTTGCTCCCAATGTAGGAGTCTCTGGAGAGAGCCCTGGAAACGACGCATCGTGAGATAGCCCTGTTCCGGAGCCAGCCTGCTTACGCTGAGCAGCTGGTGCAGAAAAAGGAGTCGTTACAGAATAAGCTGGTCAACATCCGAGGAGAGCTCTCGCAAGCAACCACGGTGAGAGGGGCTGCCGCAGGTTAACCACTCTCTCTCTCTCTCCCCCACCTCCCCATCCCCCCAATGTCCACACACCTACAGTGACCGCGCCTGTAAGCACCTGGATCGAGGGAGTACAGGAATGAGCAGGAGACCAGAGGCAGGAAGAGTGGAGGGTTTGGGGAGGAGAATCTGGGGTGGATCAGACAGAATAGTGGGTAGAGGGACCGGGCAAGATCATGGAGGGAGTCACAGGTCAGGGCGAGGACCTTGTGGCTAGTTCACTGAAGCCTTGGGACGTCCGCCCGACGTGAAAGGCTCCGTACAAATGTAATGCAAGTTGTTGCTGTTGTCTGACTGCGTGTTGGGTGTTGTCTGTGTGACAGGCATTTGCCAGCACAAAAATTGAATGCGATGCCCTGCAGATGGAGCTGTCCATCATCCACAATGACATCTGGCAACAGCTCAACAACACCATAGGAATGCAGGTAACTCAGCCCGGCCTCACCTGCCCATGATTCCACAATTTACTCTTGGCTTTTCATGTGGGGAGGGGGGTGGCTGGGAAGAAGGAGGGAAGATGGGGGGAGGAGGAAGATGGGGGAGGAGAGGAAACGGTGGAGGAAGGGAGATGGTGGGGGGGGGTGGTGGGGGGGGATGGGGGGGGGGAATGGAAGGTGATTAATGCCAATTTACGGTAACCGGGGCTGGTTGTTTGGGGTTTCAGAATGAGTTTGACAACAAACACGCTCAGAAACTGTTGTGGAGAATCCAGGATGTGATGGAGGGGCTGAGGAAGAGCTACCCCGACAGGCTGACAGCCGACTCCATCAAACTGAACGGTACGCGACTCAGCCCTTGGTGGCGAGAGTGTGCGAGGGAGCTGCGGTGTTGGGGTGTGTGTTTGGTGTGCGTGTATGTGTGTGTGTGTGCACGCGTGTGGTGGGGTGGGTGTGTTGTGTGTGGGAGGGGGGGTTTGTGTGGTGTGCGTGTTCGTGCGCGCGTGTATGAGATTGAGTGAAACGAACCGCGTCGTCTCGAGATGGAGCTCGAACCCACAACCCTTCGGTCCGGAGATGAGCGTGCAACCGAGCTGATGGGGAGTGGGTGTACGAGCCGGAGTTGGGTTTGGTGGTGGGGGGGGTGGGGGGGTTGGAGGGGCTTGGGACCTGTTGTGACCTGCGGGGGTCCCGGACGGTGCGATGATTCTCTCTGTTGTGTACGCAGTGACGAGCGGCCAGGTGGGGACATTCAGCTCCAACAGCCCCGCCAGCCCGCTGAGCTCTACCAGCCTCACCAGCCCCGTCAGCCCCTTCTCACCCGTCTCCGGCTCTCAGTCCTCAGCTCAGCCCCCGGTCAGTGAGGTGAGTGATGGTGGGAACTTTCACTTTCAGTCAATCAAAGCACGTGCGCCCACAACACTCTCCCCCCCCCCCCCCCGCCCACACGGAGATCCAGAGCAACACGACGGTCACTCAATCCACGAGGACGCTGCCGTGGCTCAATCGGCTGCCGCGTTTCGCCCACAACATGCACCAGTGTATCCTGTGAAGCGCTTTTGAGGTGTCTCGACGATGTGATAAGGGGCTGTAACAGATACAAGGATTATTATTAAGACGATAAAGAGAGGAAGGGGTTGGTGGGATTAGACTGGGTGTGGCTTGCTGGGGGAAGGGGGGTGGGTGGGGAACCCGCTCTCTGATTTTACGCCTCTCTAAACCTTTCTCTTTGTAGCTTCGCTTTTGAGGTAAGCCCTGCCTGACGCTAACTCTCCCTTTGCTGGCTAAACCTTTTCGCTAAAGCTTTGCGGTTACTCTCTCTGCTTTGCTCGCTCTGCCTCAGGAGTCTCGGCCGCCTCGACCTCCCCTTCCTCAGTCCTACCTGCAGCAGGAGCCGTGGCCTGAGGTTCCCCCTCTGCCCAGTGAGAGCAGTCTGTGGGCCTTCTCAGCCGAGGACGTGCGAGACGACCGAGGGATGGGCGCCCTGCCGGGGAAGAGAAGTGGAGGGGCGGCAGTAAGTGGCTGACAACGCTCCACTGTCTCCCATCAGTCCCATGTCTTGTGGCTTTTCACCATCTGTCTCAAGTCATGCATCAATGTGGTTCAGAGCCTGAAATAAGCAGCGTGTTTGGAGAGAGTGTGGGGCTGAATGGGGGGGGGGGGGGGGGGAGGGGGGTTGGTGGGTGGATGGGGGAGAGAAGACTCAATACTGGGGAACTTGGCACATGGAAATGACTTCACCCATTAGTTAGCATCAGCTGGGCTTCACCGGGTTAAAGTCCTCGGTGGAAGGTTCGTCCAGTTGGCTATGGGATACGGAGCAAAGGCCGGTAATTGGAGTTGAGGTACACATCAGCCGTGATCTAACAGAATGGAGGGACAGGCTCGGGGACTGAATGGCCTCCCCCTGTTTACTATGTTCCCATGTTCCTCCTTATGTTCCTCCACGATTGAGTTGAAACAAAGCAAGACATTGTTTGACAGTTGGTAAAGAAACATCAGAGACACTTGGCAGTGCAGACACAACACCTCAGCCAAAAGCTTAATGGGGAATTGGACGAGTGCCTAATACCTAGCGATGCTGCGCTGGCTCTACACAAACCCACGCTATATCCCAAAGGAACCAAGCTCTCCGATTACCTCCTGATTTCACGCCTCTCTCTGTGCCGGCCAATTCGGTCATCGTCGGTCAGTTTGGTGTCTGTGTTGATTTCTAAGTCTATCAGCACAGTGTTGAGGCTCGCTACTGTAAACGCTTCACGCTCTGTTGTAAGACCTTCCAGGGATCTGAGCTGTGTGAAGACCTTTTGACTCTCTTTTCCTCCAGTCGGCTGGATTGACCCCAGTTCTAGAACCCCCTTGTCTAGGGCTTGAGCATCCACCTCACAGGGGAAAAGGCAGCTACAAATCCCGAACCAGTCTCCCAAGTCTAGGATTCTCGCTCACGCGGTTGAATCCCCAAGTCCTTGATGTTCCACCTTCTTTGACCTCCGCAGCAATTCACTGTCGACCCTTCCAGGATAGAGACCCGCGGAGCTGTGCCAACCAGCCTGGACAACAGCATGTCACAAGCCAGACAGGACCCGGAGACCGAGAAACAAGGTGCAAATAAAGGTATCGTCTGAAAGGTTTAGTCGAGAGAGAAAGAGAGCGAGCGAGCGCACGTGGGAAATAAGTCATATCAGTCGGGACCATAACCACTTAATATGACTTGCGTGAAGTCTGCGGTGCAGGCAAACTGGATAAATGGTAGAGAATCCAATTTAATCAGTAATCCAGACTGCGCACTGCGCAATTCAATGCAGCCGGAAAGTGAGAGCGTGTGGTGACGGGTCAAGACTACGGTTCCCGCGGGTCAATGCAGCCGGTTTAAGTGCGGGAGCAATGGAGGGCAGGAGAGCGGAGTTAGGAGGTGATTAATACAAGTAGCGCAAATCAATCTTAAGAGGCTTAATAGGAAACTGAACTCGAGGGTATGTACGACTTAGATTCATAAAGATAAGATTTACGTAAGCGTTACTGTAATAGTAATAATGCTCCTCTATTTGATATCGCTCCTTTCACGTGGGAAAGCTGTCTCAAAGCACTTCACAGGATATACTGTGAAGTGTAGTGACTGTTTTTTTGTTTAGGCATTCGTTTTCTAACCTAAATCCCTTGTGGCTTCTTACAGTAGGCGTCGTTCCGCCAAGAACCAAGTCTCCTCCTGAGGAACTGTCTCCGTCGCCTTCCTACAGCGCACTTCGCACTAGTGACAAGGACCGTTCTGGATCTCTGATACAAGTACGTGTGAATATTGTTGCCCACAAATCCGATCTACAGCCCACCCCACCCCCCCACACTCCTATATTTGGTATAAAAATAATAATAATCCTTTGATTTGGTACACCCCACCCTCCCTCTCTGCCCTCTGTGTCTCTTGATCCCAACCCGCAGCTCGGATGCAAATTCCAGCGCCTCAGGATGTGCTCCCGATGTGAAAGGCCCTCATTCTCACCTACATTAAACTAAACTCCGTCCCCCATCACACTGCGCCCCGAACCTCTGGAACACTGTTTCTCGGTGATCCCTCCGCCTTGAGGACCTTGCTCTTCGACCGTGCCTACGGTCACCTCCCACCTCCGCTCCCCCACTCCCTACCGGCTCAGGGTTGTGCTCCACCACTGTCAAGTGCTCTGGGTCGCTACCCTGCACGAGGGGCGCAGTGTCCATGCAAGTTGTTGTTGTCGTCGCATAAATGTACGTTGCTATTGTTACAGGAAAGGCCCAAGAGCGGTGGGTTCCAGAGTGACCCCAAGTCTAAGATGAGCGTGGAGGAGCAGAACGACCGGATGAAACGGCATCAGAATGGGTCGTTGAGAAACCGGGAGAAGAGGAGGAGCCTCAACCTGCCGCCTGGTCACTATCTGTCCGCAGACTCCAGCCCCCGCCCCACCAGACCCCGATTCACCGTACGTTGTGGCTTTGTCTGTAGCTCCCTGCGTTGCCAGAGATTGTGCGCGTGCGTGCGTGAGATTTAATTAATAATAATAATAATCCTCGCTTTTAATATAGCGCCTTATCACGTCGTTGAGTCGTCTCAAAGCTCTTCACAGCTTATATCGTAAAGTGTAGTGAGTGCGTATTTTGTGGGCGAAACACGGCAGCCAATTGTGCACAGCGACGTTCCCCACAAACAGTCGTGGATTGAGTGACCACATTTTTATTTTTGAGCGATCCGACGATCGACTAACTTACTGCTCGTCAAACAGAGGTGTGTGCGTGGAGTAAGGAAAGTTACCTAAGGTTTCGCCCTGACCCGGGAATCGAACCTGTGTCCTCTCGCTTGCGAGGCGAGCGAACTAACCACGACACTTCGGGACTTCACGCTTGAGTGAGTGAGTGTGTGTGTGGGAGGGGGTGGGGACGCTCTGTGGAAGCAATGGGTGGCCATCAGAGTGAGACTGACGCAGGCCGTGTGTTGGCTTCCCAGGTCCCTCGACGGAAAACCACAGAGATTGATATCTCCGACCTGGAGGCTGCTGTCAGAGATGAGAGCTCAGAGAGTTACCACGAGACCCCCAGGGAGGAGATTGCCCGTCTCAGGAGGATGGAGCTGGAGCCTGAGCACTATTCAGTGGATATCAACAAGGAGGTGGGTGCGTGCGAGAGTCACAGAAGCTCTAAATGAAGCTGTCATTAGCTGTCACATCAGTTAAGAACTGTCCCACACATCGCCCCAGGCAACTAGTGCGACAAACTGGTTCTGAGGCCGTCAACACCCAATCTGCAATTCACAGTCGTTCCTTCCCACAAGATGAACGTTTCAAAGCTCTTCGGAGATGAGGAGCAGGGAGGAGAGGGTCTGAACAAAGGCACGGTTAAAGGGAGAGTGTTTTTTGTTTTTTTACCCGGGTTTTGAGGTTTGGGGAGAGAAGCAACAAGGTAAAGGGGTTGGTGGGGGAAGAGTTTCCAGAGACGTGTGACTTGGTGACTGAAGACTGAGAACATCTCTGAGCCTTGAGGGAAGCTTTGCTCCTTACGTTTCGGCCAGAAATGTTGCATGAGGCTAGGACATTGAGAGAGAGAGAGAGAGAGAGTGAGAGAGAGAGGTTAAAAACTGTTGAGAGGAGTTTTCGCTGGAGAATGAACCTGGGGATCCAGTGTGCGAGACTGTTGATGCCTTAAAGATTGGTTTAATTAGCTATCTGGCGCCATGCAAAGGCGGGTCAAGGTACCGCAACCATAGACCATGTTAAACCCAGTCAGATCTCTATGCAACCCATAGACGACACGTGTTATTTTCTTTTAAACGTTGCTCGTTCGGTTCTATGACGAGCGTTCGGTTGCTTCGGGTTGTGAGTTGACTCTTTTTCCTGCTCCCAAGTTGTCCACGCCGGACAAAGTCTTCATCCCGGAGCGATACATTGAGTTCGAGCCTGAGGTGCCTCTCAGTGCTGAGGAGATGATAGAGAAGCAGAGGAAAGTGGAGAGGATCAAGACCCTTATCGCTAAGTCCAGGTACCTGACTTGATGGTGGGAACTGCCAGCAAACTCTTCCCTGTGGGTCTCCTATCGGGATGTCAGTGTCGCGAGCACTTTTGCCTCTGAGGCAGAAGGTCGTTGTGTGGGTTCACGCCCCAATACAGGGACTTAGAGCTTACAATCATAGGCTGACACTCCAGCACAGGGCTGGGGGTTGGGGGTGGGTTAGAGGGGAGGGGGAGAGCTGCATTATCGGAGGCATTGTCCTTCGGGTGAGGTGTTAAACTGAGGTCCTGTCTGTGTTGTGTTTGGGGCGAGAGATGGAGGAGGGGGTAGGAGGGATTGGGAAGGTTCCTGAGGGATTAGCCGCTCACCGATTCCCCGTTGCCCTCCCCCCCCAGTTTGCAGAATATCGTGCCCCTGACTGAGGGAGTAACGGAGCTGAGCTTGGACCCGGAGCTGCAGCTGCAGGAGCAGGAGAAGAGGATCGAGATCTCCTGCACTCTCGCCACCGAGGCCTCACGACGCAGTCGGCTCCTGTCAGGTAACACGTCAAACGCCTCTCTCTCCCCACCTCCCCCAGACCCACCCCCAGCCCAATACTGAGCACAGCCAAAGCACCCCCACCCCCACCCAGAGCAGAGAGAGAGTGAGACACGCACACACACTGGAAGAGCTTGCAATCGTGCACACCCACACCTAGGCACGCACAGATCTACACAAACACACACACATAAGCACCCACCCCTGACACACACGCACACCCTCATGCGCACACCCCTTCCCCCCCCCGCCACATGCACACACAGACACATGCACCCGCACCCCCTTACACACACATCCACACTTGCGCACGCACGCACACACACACACACCAGCAGAGCAGAAACCCCTGTCCACAGGGAAGCACAGAGAGAATATGCCTCAAAAAAGGTCCCACACACAGTGTCCGCCCTGTGAAGATGTCACAGACTGTTCTCATTGCTGGACAGTGAGCACGGTGACCCCCTCCTTTGTTTCCCCCTCAAAGTTTCCGCAGTTAGTTTGGGAGGGGGCCTCCATGGGGAGTGGGGGATGGCTTTGTGGAGACGGGGGGTTCTCTGTGGGGAGGGGGGGCGGTTGTGGTTGTGTTGGACATTGGACGGATGGTGAGTTCAGACTTTTTTTTAATTCATCATAACATTCATGTTACATCATTCACTGTGACGTCTCACAACCTGGGACACAATCATCCTGTGTTACTGCGGCCCCTTGTGGGGGCTGGAGGGGGGAATAGAGGGAAGGTGAGACAGTAAGGGAGAGAGGGAGGGAGGGTAGCAGTTGAATGGGAACGCTCCTCCTGATCATCACTTCATTTTCCATCTTTCATCCCATTTAGTTCCAGGGTCCGGAATGTCCAGTCCCTCAACATCATCCTCTCCCAACCCATCTCCACCACCTCTGCCCGCGGACGGAAGCCATTTAATGTGTGTCTGACCTGGGACGAAGTAAGCAAGCCTCACCGTCGGAGGGTGTGTGTGTGTGGGGTGGGGAGGGGGGTGGGGAGAGGCGTTATCTCTGCGAACAGTTTTCATCTCTACATCAAGTGTCAGGTGAGTGCGGGTTAACCTGACCCACTTGTCTGTTGACTTGCTCCCGCAGTCTCCAATGTGACCCCTTTACACTGGGTCACTTAAAGGCAGAGGCAGGGTAGACGTGAGTCGGGGTAGGGTGGTGGGGGGGGATTCTATCCTTTGGGGCACAGGTAGGACCCGACTGCCCTCAATATCTCACCTTGACCCAGGTAAGCTCATTTCGCCCGCGAAGTACACAGTCACTCCACTTTACAGTGTATCCTGTGAAGCGCTTTGAGACATCTCAATGTCATGATAAGGAGCTGTGTCAAATGCAAGGATTATTATTATTATTTAGAACAGACACTCAGTGTTGGTGTGTGGGGTGGGCAATGGCATCATAGTTCAACCCATTGCCCTACGCTCCAATATTCACACACAAGCACTTTTTGAAGGGGGTGGGTGGGGGCCGGGGAACCCATTGGATTGTGATGAGGATCAAGAACCCTGGCTGATTTTCTCTCCCCCACCCCCTCTCTCTCTCTCTCTCTCTCCCTCTCTCTCTCTCTCTCCCCCCCCTCTTTCTCTCCACGTTCCTTCCTCAGCTCAAGCTATAGCCGCCGTTAAGTATCATCGATCGACGTACTAAAGACGGAGACTGGCACCACATCCCGTGAGAAGTGGATCGCTGCCATCGTCAGATAGAGAGAGAGAGAGATGCAGAGTGAAGCCCACCTCCCACCCCCCCCCACCCACCACCACCGCTACCCACCGCTACCCACCACCCACCCCCATCCCGCGAACCGCTCCCCCTACCCCATACGCTCTTGTCTTCCCGCACATTCAGAGAGGGCAGGGGTTGTATTTATAGAAAAAGTCATATCATTTCATTCAAGTGCAGCGCACGATTCTACTTGATGAGATTCGCGGGTGAAACAGTTCGAGTCTTAAACTGGGAGCTGACGGCTGGAGCTGTTCTTTTGCTACGCGGGGGCTAATCGTGTACATGTCCGGCTGCTTTCCAGGGGCTGTGGGTCTCGGCGACCCTCTGGGCAAAGAGGAAACCTAACTGCTCAACAATTCACTCTCTGCAGAAAGGGGCCCTCAGTTCAATTCCTGCTTAGGTCCATTTGTTAAATGTCTCTCAGACGCCTGGCATGTGTGTCTCCCCCCCCCCCAAAGGATCAGGACTTGTGCTTCCCAATAGTTGGAGTCTCGCTGTTACTGCCGCGGCCTGTTAGCCACAGCTTATGCCCTTCAATCTCTAGCACTTTTCCCTCCCCCTTTCTCCCACCGTTCTCCGGTGATACCTGTCCACACACCTGGTGGCACACAGCTGTGTTACCCGTCTTTCCTGAACCTGCCGACTAGCCAACGAAAACCCTGTTGATTAATGGGCCAGATTATAAAGTCTCTGCTTCTCACAGAAGGTCAGTCCATGTCCTACCTCGGTGGAGAGATCTCCCAACGCTGGAGGCACCACCGAGTCAAGCAACGACCTGGAGAGGAATAATTTCTAGTCTGATTCGGCTGGCGTAATAAGCAGGACCTTGTGTCTAATGGGTGAATATTATTGCGGGGAGTTAGGTCGGTGGGGGGGTGGGGGGTTAGTTTGTAAGGATTAATCACCCAGATTACAGCTGGAAAATGGGGGTGTTGGAGGGGGGGGTAGAGGTTCTTGCTGAATTTTGCACTGAGTAAGTTGTTTGGAGGTTCGTGAGGAGATGTGTGGAGAGTGACGGAGGGGAGGAGGATGCCTGATGCACTGACCCAATTAGCGTTGGGTATCAGTTGCACAGCTTAATTGATCCCATACCCCACAGAGACAGAGACAGAGGAGGGCAACTTTAGATTTAAACTGCATTGAGATACACGTTACGTTTTCATTGGCTTCGTTGGCAGATTTTGTATGAAAGTCAACCCCAATCCCGTCTCACTTAACAGAGGTCTCCTGATTTCTCCTCTTGCCCACTCCCACCCACCGAGCTTCTAAATCCACACCTGCCTTGATTATATGGAGAATTATTGGCTTTCGCCCCCTCCCCTCCCCACCTTTGTTGCTTTCTCAAACCTCTCATGGACAGTCCCAGTGTGTGAGCTCAGGTGGATTGAGTCAGAGCGGGACGTCCGAACCCAGGCTCGTCCCATTTCGGAGTTGCCGGAAAACCGGGAATGGGATCTCAGCCGGTTACGAGTACCTGAAAGCAGAGGCGAGCAGAAGCTGCCGCCGTCACTGCCGGCTCAGCGGAGATCGGTTCGTTCAGTGCACGAACACGGATCAGGGATTGTAACCGTAGACGGTCCTGATCTCATGGCTTGCGGTTTTGTGGTATCGCGTTGTCGCTAATGTTTGCCCACCTTCTGGTGATCCACCACCTGGGAGGCTTAAAAAAAATACATGGACTCTTCAACCAGGGTTGCTCTTGAGTGAGTGAGTGAATGAAGTGGAGGGATTGGAGTTTTGGGACATTGGTGAGGCTTGAATCTTGGGTGGAGAGCGAGAGATGCACACACAGACATACCACACACTAACACACACACAAATACATGCTTGGATCTGTGCTCTGGTGTTGGGTGATGGACTGCGAACTCTCCTGTTCAAAGGGGAGGGGGGGTCTTCTCCATGTGGGGCTTGAGGTTCAAGGTTCACTCGATGACTTGCACAACCGCGGAACAAGAGAATGTAAAGGAATCGACATTTGTAAACCTCATAACTTTACATCCGTAAAAAAAAAAAAAAATTCTATTTAGTTCCATTTCCTACTTGTCAGAAGAGGATATTTTTTTGTAGCTGTTTATCACGTGACTGCAGATGTGTTCCGGGGGAAAAGAGGGAATGTTTTATAGCACATTTTGGATGGTTGGGGAATTTAGACAGAGGTATACCCTTATAATGTACATTGAATTATTGTAATAAATAAATATGGAAAAAAACTATTATGAAAAATATTGAAACTAACAGATAATAATAAAAAAAAGTTTAAAAAAAAGATTCTATCGTCTCGGACTTTTGAACATCAAGGCTGGTGTCTTCATAAACCTTCTCCTCCCCTTCACCCCTTTGCAGTGGAACTCTTTCAGATGTGTGTATCTTACAGAATTGGACACAATACTCCAAATGTGGCCTAAACCGAGGGTTTGTATAAATCTCGCGCTGATAATAATTAGCAAAAATGGCTGGGACACAACACGAAACAATCGTCATCAGACCCTTTGGACGGATTGCCGTTCTATGTTTGGTTGACGGCTTTGACACTACCCCCCGCTTCACCCTTCTTTCCCCCCCTCCCCCCCCCCCAAAACTGTGTCAGCTTCCATTAATGCATAGCTGTGTAAGGACATAAAATACCCACATCACGAGACTCGGGCAATTACTGGACTCAGAGCGAAGGGAGGGGAGAAAATTGAGGAGAGGAAAAAGAAAGGTTCCTTCCTTTGGACCAGTTTGGTGGATTTTGCCCCGGTCCCTGGCCTGCAGTTGCTGAGCAATCGAAATAGTGTCATTGGGATCCATCTGACTTTCGACTTGAAACAAGGGTCAAATTATGCAACGAGTGTTTGTGTGAAGCTGTGAGAGAGAGAGCGAGAGAGAGAGAGAGACGCTTTCCTCAAAATCTTTTCTTGTTTATTAAGAAAAATTATTGAAAATGATATCGCTAACAGACACGCAGAGTAAGTATTGACCCCCCAGGTAGGACGTTGTGAGCAATGGATGCATTTGAATCTCTGCTTGGAGATATCTCTTAGGAAATTACCTATCAGTCTGTTGACTGGCTGCACGTTTGGTGAGAAATTCATGAAACCGAAACCAGGTCTTATACCAGCCGGGCTCAGCCTCCGAGTCAGAAAGTTGGGTTGTGGTTTCAAATCACGCATTGGGATTTTGAGCTCACAGTCTAGGCTGGCGGTGGGGGCGGCGGTGAGATTGGGGGGGTGTGAGTGGAGACTACATTGTCGGAAATGCCGTTCTTTACAGATGAGATGCTAAAAAGAGACTTGGTCTTCGGTCACACTCCCACTGCCCTCCAACCCTCCTTTTGATTCCAACCCCCAACTCGGGTGCAAACCCTTAACTGTGTAAATGTAAATTGTTGTTGTTGTTGTTAAAACACGTGGCCCATTAAAGTGATCTGAATTCCTTGCAGAGTTTGGAGTCGGATTGACGGGATTCGGGGTCTTTTTCCTCCTGTTTGGGGTTCTCTTGTATTTTGACAGAGTGCTGCTTGGGTTTGGGAACGTGAGTATGGACTTTGGTGGAAGGGCGTCACTCTCTGGTGGAGTGAGCGAGCGAGGGAGGGAGAGCTGGGTGGAGCTAACTCCATCCGTCAGCAGGTTATCTGCCGTGGCAACAGTGGTGGTGGTGGGTGGGTGGGGGAAGAGGTTGTATAACCAGGAGCCTAGAGAGCAAACGGCCTTCACATTTCTTAACTCGTTCCTTGTTGTCAACCAACACCCATCAGTAAGCTTTCCACCCCATGGCATCAGAGAACTTCTCAGCTTGGTTTGGATACTCTTAAGCATTTTGATGGGTTTCCACATGTGTCCGGCAAACAGGCTGACCCCCACCTCCCCACCCCGTCTCCCCCACCAAAAAAAAATCCTCTTTGTTGTGAAGCGTTGTTTGTGAAGCGATACCATTTCAACAACAACAACGGATTGCATTTAGATTGCGCCTTTCACGTCGGGAGGACGATCCAAGGTGTTGGATTTCAAGGAGCTTTGACATCCACATAAAACATCAGACTGGACTGAATAGGTGGAAGGTGGGTGGCGGGGGGGTAGGGGGGCGGGGAGGGGGTGTGGGAGAGAGGACCATGACATTATCAAAGGCCATACTCTCTGCTCCCCCAGATCTTGTTAGTGGGCGGCCTCCCCTTCATCATCGGGCTGCAGAAGACCTTCCGGTTCTTCTTCCAGAAGCAGAAGGTGAAAGGCACCAGCTTCTTCCTGGCCGGGGTTCTCCTGGCGTTGCTTAGATGGCCTGTCTTGGGCATGGTCCTCGAAACCTATGGCCTCTTCACACTCTTCAAGTAAGGAGATCATCTGAATGCTAACACCCTCAGCCCAACGCAGCTCATTGACCTGAAATTCCCCCTGGTTTGGTCCTAGCCTGTCACACTGTCTTGCCTTTAACATTTGAGAAAGTGCCAAATTGTGGAACATTCTTAAATTCAAGTCTTAATTTGGAATTTGTCCCATTCATCTAACAGAAACCTGCTTCTAAATTAACAAGGGATATCGAATTATTCTCTCAATAATTTGTCCAAACTCTCTCCAGACTCAAAGACCCAGACTTTGTGGGACTTTTAACATCTAGTCTCTATTCAGTTCTACAGGCTCTTAATGAAAAGACCTAGATTCTATCTGGATCTGGAGCTCTTAATCCCACAGCGAGACTCTATGTGGAGTTATAGATTCTTGATTCTACATCCAGGCCCTCACTAAGTGGTGACATTTGAGTCCCATCCTGACTTACAGCTCCGCATCTCAGGTCCAGATCACAGTGGACAGCTACTCTCTGTGCTGTGAACACCCAGTGCCTCAGTTGGCCATAGCGAGAACCTTAGCTGCCTTGCAGATCTAATGCCTGACATAATCGCCAATAAATTGAATTGCATTTGTCTCGAGATGTTGAGTTCCCTCGAGCGTCTCAGTTTGCCTGAACCCTTCCTAATGTGCATCCCTTTTTTCCCAGGGGCTTCTTCCCAGTAATATCCAGAATCCTGTCCAACCTCCCGGGACTTGGGTTTATTTTCAAGGTAAGCTCTTGGAGAACGCCTGACACCTTTATTGCCGTGGTTGTTTTGCTGGGAGATTAGCCGGTGGTTAATTTGCTCACATCGATGTCCCCAAAAGCAGAGGTGAAGCGAATGACCAATTTTATCTGGCGGATTGTCGGCTGGGCCACCGAGAGAGAGAGAGAGAGAGAGAGAGAAAAACTCCCTTTAGCAGTAAACTGACAAAATTGGAGTTGAGGTATAGATCAGCCATGATCTAATAGAATGGCTCGAGGGGCTGAATGGCCGTGTTCCTCTTCCTATGTGCCCAGGACAACTTTACTCGGACTAACCATTTGAAGTGACTAGAAAGAGTCATTCACTTCATGGCGCGGTAGGGGGCGCCGTTCTGTGCCCTCAAGACGTGTGTATAGACAGGGAGTGAGTGTATGAAGCTCCGTCCTGCCCCTGGCTATGCTGTCAGGGGCCTGGGATTGTTTAACACTGACACTGAAGTCTCCCGGAATGAGAGAGCGTTGCCAGTTTCCCACCGCTGACATCCTTCACCTTGAAGAGATCGAGAGCGAATGAGCCAAGATACACACAGCTGAGAACCCTCCAACAGCTGCCTTCTCTCAGGGACCAGTCCCTCTCTGTAGGGTCAGAGATTCTGTGAATGGAGATGGCTCTGCCCACAGCTCGTTCATGTGGTTTCTTGTGTTTTCACTCTCTCTCTCGCTCTCTCTCTCCATTAAGGTTTCAGTTCTTTAAAGTAAAATCCCTTCAGTACCAGTTTGATGTACAGGCTGTGATTAATCCCGTCTGCCTGTTCAGCTGGTCGTTGAAGATCCCGTGGCGCTATTGGAAAAGAGAAGGGAGTTTCTCTGTCTCCCTGTGTCCTGGCCAACAATCTCCCCAAATATAAATTGGTCGCTCACTCCATGGCTGAGTATGGGACACCTCTGTGCCCAAACTGGCTGCTGCCTTTCGCCCACACAATACATAGTCAATCGAGTTTACAGTGTATCCTGTAAAGCGCTTTGAGACGTCTCAACGACATAATAAGGCACTGTATCAAATGCAAGGGTTATTATTATTATTATTGTTCAATGGACTAATGTAAGGAATTACATTTCCCTTGACTTGAGTGTTTACTGAGTTAATATGAGAGGTTGTGTTACCATCAGTTTGAGAGAGTCGAATGGGTTAATGTAAGGAGGAGGCTCTGGATTGTAACCCGGCTCTCAGCTCCCAACCGGGCTGTGGACAAACATTTCCAGCGAGTGTGAACCAAAACAGACCTTTCCCATTAATGAGCGTGTACAAACAAGTGTGTAAAAAAAGGGTAAAAAGCAAAAAGTGTAAAATACCTAACTCTGATGCTTTTACCTCCTCTGAATCCTGCTCTATCCTTGACTGCCCGGTGCCTTGGGATTTCCTCCTGATGTGCAAGGCGCTACACAAATGGAATTTGTTGTTGTTTTTGCTCTAAAATTTGCCGAGGGTTAAGTGGATTTGCAGAGCGGGGAGAATAACAGTGGCCGTGGGCTTTACTGAATGATAGAGATGTCAGGAGTCCATCTCCTCAATAAACCTTTATATCACCCACGATAGAAAAAAGTGATGAGTTTTATGAGGGGGGGAGATGATGGGTGAGATGTGAACAGTCACTTGAACCATTGTCCAAAGGGAATGTTACTCAGAGAGAAAGAGTTTGTAAGATGGGTTGTTTCATCTCATCCCACGAATTAAAGGCTAGAAATTACTCCAATCGATCAAAGGCAAGTCAGGGCAGTGAAGGAGAAGAGTGAGGCGAACAGGGTAGAAACTCTGGAACTCTCTCTCTCAATCCCTCCGCCTTGCCCCATCCTTCCCATCTTCAACAGTGCTTACGGTCACACACAAGTGCTCTGAGACCCTACCCTTGCGTGAGGGGCGCTATATAAATGAAAGTTGTTGCAGATGTTGGAGGATGTGAGGGAGCGGGGTGGAGGGTTGGAGGACTGAGGGGTGGAGGATACAGACATCTCGAGTTCTCACCTCTCTTTGGGGTGGGGGTGGTGGTGGGTCTTCTCTTTTTCAGCTGGTAAGCGAATCCGACGAAAGCAAATCTTTGGTGTGAAGACAAAAAAGTGAGGAGGGAGAGGAAAAAAATGACATTTAAAGGAGAGCTGGTGAAGAGGATGATTATTCACGCCTCCTTTTCATGGTCTGACGACTTTGCCGATGATTGAGGATTTGAGCCGATAAGATCTAAGGGCCAGGAAGAGGTCATTCAGCCCACGCCAGACACAAGCCTGTACCACCGCGTTGAAAGGACATTCCGCAGCAACTCTGTGCCACTGGGATGAACCAACGGTCTTGTGTGGCGTGTTTAAGGTACCCATGCACACCATCCTTTCAAGAACAAATGAGATAGGTTGCTGTTAGGAAATAATATATGGGGACACAGTATATAGTTCGGGACACGACATGTGCAAACGACTGCTCGGATGGTGGAAGGCGAACTGGATGGACCTTGGTCTTCGTTTCTCCAGCAAATTCTTATGTTCTTATCCTCGTCTCCTCCTGCCCACATTCACTCCCTTCATCGCTCCCTCCCTCCCTCCTCTCGAGGGTGAATCCTGTGACACGTGTCCAGCTCTGCTCCCGTCGAAACGATTGACAGCCTCAAGGCAGTAATTTAGACGGATGTCCGTCGGAATGCTGAAATTTTATTGAATTCATAATTATATTTATTTGAGATGAACGACACCTGCTGCCTGTGCATTGCGTTCACTCTGTCCTCAATGAGTATTTCACTCGATGCGCTATCTAAATGTAATTTTGCTGTTGTTGTTGCATCTGCTCACGGAGGTATGTTTAATGGAATAAAGTTGACACCGTTCGCGGAGTGTGTGTTAGATTTCATGCCTGCTCCTTGTCGGGATCCAGTCTTACTCACCCTCGGTGTAAATCTATCAGTACTTTTCGCTGAACCTTCTTACGACAGCAAGTCACTATGTTTTGCACTAACACGTGTGAAGCACTTTGAGACTCCCTGACCCTATCACCGCCCCCCCCACCCCACACCCTCGCCCGGCTCCGCTGGCTCCCCATCCCCCAGAGGATACTGTTCAAGATCCTCATCCTCCAGTGCCTTGCTCCTCCCTACCTCTGTGACCTGCTAACTTTGTACCGACCCGTTCGCTCCCTCCACTCAGCGGTCTCCAGCCCACTCCATGGTCCCCCGCACAGCCCACCCCACCATTGTCGGTTGGGCTTTTAGCTATCCTGCCCCCCACCCTTTGGAACTCCATCTCACAATCCCTTTGCCTCTCTCCCACCCTCGCCTCCTTCAAGACCCGTCTCAAGACCTTCCTCTTTGACCGCGCCTTCGGTCACCCTCCTACCCACTCTCTCCCTGCCCTTCACCCCTCCTAATCCCAACCCCGAGCTCGGGTCCAAATCCCTGACCCTCCAGCTCTTTGGGACGTCCTTATGAAGTGAAAGGCGCTCTAGAAATGTAATTTGTTGTGGGAGTTGTTGAGGTGCTTCGATGCAATGTGAGTTGCTGTGCAAAAGAGAGCATAGAGTGTGTTGAAGGTGCTGGAATTAATCAAAGTGATTTTCTCTTTGACGTTTCAATCATCTGTCTGTGAGGCTGTGAAGCTGTCAGAGACACGAGCAGTGAGCTCGCTCCCGAACAAAAACACCATCTTTCAGTAAATTATGAATTTAATAACCCCCAGGTTTAACAGCATTTAATGTACATTAATTATTAATTCAATCTGTCCCGGAGGGGATTATTAACTTCAGTATTTTTTTGCTTATAAAATCTGATGACATTTCAGACGCATTGTTCATTCCTCAACTTCTGATTGATGTGAATTCTGTAATCAGAGATTTGGGTTTGATTTCCGGGTCAGGGCAAAATGTTAGGAATATTTCTTTATTCCTCACGCCTCTGCTTACAAAGCAATAAGTAGGAGTCCGGTTGTTAGTCGATTGGCGGATCGCTTTACAGGAGTAATGGTTCCTTCAAAAAATAAAAATAATAAAACAGTAATAATAATTTGGTCACTCATGTTTGCGGGACGCTGCTGTGCGCAATTGGCTGCCGCTTTTCACCCACAAATTACACAGTCAATTCAGTTTCCAGTATATTCTGTGAAGCACTTTGAGAAGTCTCAACAAAGTGATAAGGCGCTATATCTAATGGAAGGATTATTAATATTATTATTATTATTATTATTGAACCCACAACTTTCTGACCCAGCTCCGTGAGAGTGAGAGAGAGAGAGTAACTGAGCCGGGCTGACATGAGAAGTAATGAAATGACAAACAGAGGAGAGTTTTATTGCCAAATAAACCCAAGAAGCGGTCCTAGGGGTGTGCAGCAGGGCTGAATAATATCAGCTAGGAGTGAGCTGCATATCCTCAAGCTAGGTGTGTCAACAAGACACGGTGATACAAATAAAATTTGTCATTCTCCCTCGCTTTTTGCCAGTCTCTCCGAGGCCCAGTTATCACTGTTTGTTATGAGATACGATTTCTTTCTGAGCTGCTTTTGTGCTGCAATAAGGTGAAAGGAGATGGGTGACTGATTTTTCCCAGAAATGTATTGAAAGAATCATCAATTATAGACTTGGAGGAGAGGAGGTGGTATTAGTAACAGGCTACTGGTTAATTCAGAACTGAGAAATGGAGTCAATTCATCCATTGAGGTGCGGAGGTGTGTGTTGCATTGTCAGAGGTGAACGTCCTTCGGATGAGACATTAAACCAAGGTCCCGTCTGACTCCCTCGAAAAAAGAAGGGTGTTTCTCTCTCCTGGTGTCCTGGGCGACAATTCCCCAAATAAAATTGGTCACACACCCCGTAGCTGTTTGCGGGACATTGCTGTGCGCAGTTGTGTTGCTGCGTTTGCCTATAGTCACTAAATTTTTGAGACATCCTTCTGACGTGATAAGGCGCTGTAGCATATGCAAAGATTATTATCATTAAAGGCTTTTTTCGTGGTGAGACAGCGTTTTCTTCAAGCAGAGCTGTACGATGAGATTAATCCTTTGCGTCAATCATACGGTCCCTTTTACAATGCTGTGCTCAGTAAGGGTTCCTTACGCTGTCTTCCTCCCACGCTCTCATTAATGCAAAACTTTCCTCTCAAGCACGTTTGATGTATGAACGGCTAAGGTGGTATTTTGTGACATTTCAAAACTCATTCCTTGTGATAATAATTGCCAGTCGATGTAGCGCCCTTGCCTCTGAGTTGTGGGTTCAAACCCCATATTGGGACTGTGTGCTCACAAGCTAGGCTGCAGATTATAATAGTATATTGTATCTGGGGAACCTGGTTGGTTGTCGATTGTCGGATCACTTTCTTGGCGTAATAATCGCTTCAAAAATAATAATAATTTGTTCACTCAATCCACAACTGTTTGTTTGTTTTGCCCACAAACAAATAGAGTCAATTCACTTTGTGGTATATTCTGTGAAGCGCTTTGAAATGTCTCGAAGACGTGATAACATCAACAACAACAACAAATTATATTCGTACAGCGCCTTTCACATCAGGAGGACGCCCAAATGCGCTGGACAGCCTGGGATCAGTACCCGAGCTGGTGGTTGGGATCAGGTGGGGTGAAGGGCTGGGAGGGAGGGGGTAGGAACGGTGACCGAAGGCACGGTCGAAGAGGAGGGTCTTGAGACGGGTCTTGAAGGAGGCGAAGGAGGCAAGGCAGTCTTATCAAATGCAAGAATTATTATTGTTATTATTATTATTTAATGCAGAGGCTGAATTGAGCAGCTGATAGAGCTGGGAGGTAATTGTGACTTGCATGAACCCGCTCCCTCCCCTCCTCTCACATCACCATCACCACAGGGGGAAACTCAGCAGCTTAGAGTGTGGACAGTGACGACAGCTGTGGATCAGATAAAAGGAGCTGAATTCAAGAGAGAGGACGAGTTTCAAATGCAGGGAATCTAGCGAGTAGTTTCTGCAACACAAGGAGAGAAGCAGCTTGTGACAGCCTTTCATCTGCACCTCAGAGACAATCGCAGAGCATCTTTCTACTCCGAAAGGCAGTGAGAGAGACAGAGAGAAGAGAAAAGGAAAGAGGGATCGTGGCTTTTGGTGAAGGGACATCTTACTATTGGTGTCCCAGGACAGACCGTGGGGCTCTTCACTGGCGATCTGAGAGGGCTGGAGGAGACTCCGCAGGTAAGTGCCAGCGCTTAAGCAGCTTAATCGGATGTGAAGCGTGTAATTCACAAAGTGAGATGTTTCTAATTCAGGAAAGTATTAGGCGCAGGTTGGCAAGAGCCAAGGCTTGGGGATGGTGGAGGGGACCCCAGAGCGTGCGTTGGGGGTAACCGCTGGAGTCTAACCAGCTAAAACCCCATAGCTTGCCATTGAGAACGCTGTCTGGCAAGCTTTCCCGCTGCTTGCCAACTAGGGACCACCCTACCCGTTAGGGCTTTGGCTTGCAGGGTTAACAGGTGCTGAGTGGGATGACTCCCTGCCCCCAGTGACTAGTCTGCCCTTCCAGGTCCTGAGTGTGCGTTGGGGTAGCTGCTGGAGTGTGTTAGACGAAAGAGCAGACCCATTGGTTCGGTGCTGGGATAAGGGGCAGTGAGAACCAACAGAGAATGGGGTGGGGGGCACGATATGGGTGCCATGGAAAACAAGCGTCAAAGGCAGGATATCCTTCACCCATTGATTTGGGGAACAAACAATGTCTAGTTGTAGGCTGACCTTTCACAGGTGCTGGAGACAGACGGTGTCCCTCTCTGTATCTTCTAACCGCCCGTTTAAAGATCAAACACCTTTCATCATTGAGAGGCAGTGATGCATTTACACGCTATCACCAGTTGGGTCAAGAAAAAAACAGCCTCAACACCAAATGGGTGAAATTAAAACGAATCAGCTTATGGGGCATCTAGCTCCTTAACTTACCAACGATCCTTGAAATCCTAGTTACGTCAAACCATTCCCAAGCCGGCTCGCAAGGCACTGTGGTGTAGTGACTGTATATGTAAGCAACGTGTACATTTTTTGTACACGGTGTGTCAGGCTGGCACAGTGGTAGCACTCTCCCCTTTCAGTCAGAACAGAAGGTTGTGAGGTCAAGCCCCCCCCCACCCCTTGTCGGGAGTTGGAATCACACAGTCTAAGCTGACGATTCAATGCAGAGTGCAGGGGGTGTAGCATTGTCAGAGGTGCCGTGTTTCAGATGAGACGTTAATAGCTAATAGTGGGTGTGTGGGTGTGTGTGTGGTTGCGTGTGTGTGTGTGTGTGCCGCTGCCTGGGGAGCTGTGAAGTTATGCTGGAACCACTTTCTTTTCATGTCACAGACCAGAGGAAGGAAACCCCATGGCTCAGCCCTTTCATCTGCTGAGTGCCAGCAAGTTTCAAGAGAAAGTTGTCCGGAAATCAGTCAGCGGGAGATTATCCTCTCTCTCTCCCTCTCTGTCTCTCTCTCTAAATCTCTATGCAGCCTTTGCATACACTTCACAGACATCACCGCTCGCGAGACAATCGGCAAATTTTGTTTTATTCTGATTGTAGAGATTGAACAATCATTTACAGGTCAATGTTATCCACACCAACACGCAAAGCCAGTGCTCATTGAGGCGCCTTGCAAGTCTGTTCAGACTGGATGTGTGCCCTCTCTGGCTCAATTATCCTGTGCATCGAATTTATGTTCCGGCGTCGAGCCTTCGTTTGGTCAATTCATAGCTTGGCTCGCCTCTGGGTTGGAAGGTTGCTAGTTCAAACCCTACGTTGAGACTTGAGCTTGCAGCCAGGAATAGGACTGGAGAGGGAGCACAGTATTGTGAGAAGAGCTGGGATTTGGATGAATTCAGGTCCCGTCTGTGCCCGTTCAGGTGGTTGATTAAGATCCTGTTTGATTTGATAAACTGTTTCGATAACTATTTGGCAAGCTTCACAAACTTCATGGCTGTTTGTAAGAACCTTGCCCTGTGCAAATTGGCGGCTGCATTTTCCTGCACAGTCACTACAGTTGCTGCCAACTCCTTGCGAACACTGTGAGACGTCTCAATGTTACAGGCGCTGTATCGAACGCGAGGATGATTATTATAATGACCGGCACTAACTCGCTGCTATCATTCTCTTCCTCAGTGTTAACACGCACATCTTCAGGATGAAGCCACTCTCTCTCCTCCTGGTGATCCTCTTCATTGATAGACAGCTGGGAAGCCCTCTGGGCAGGGATGGTGACCCAGATATGCCAATCCACAGCCCGCGCTCTGCAGGTATTATTTGTTCTGGGGTCATCTCGAGGTCCACTGTTCACAAGGCCACACGAGAGGTGGCAACATAGGAGCCCATTTTATCTACAGTTGAAAGAAATTAACCTGTTAAAAGCTTTGATGCGTTTGGTGTGTATAGATGCCGTTTCAAATACAATGATTATTACACGTGTGGAGTAAGGAAACTTGCCTAAGGTTTTGCCCCGCCAGGGAATTGAACCCGGGTCCTCTCGCTTGCGAGACGAGTGCGCTGACCACCTCGCTACGGGATAGTAACCGGGTCGGTGATGACCGAGCAAGTTTGTCTTAACGGCGATTCCTTTGCTCCTCTTTGTGACCCTGTTGACAGTTCATATCCTCGATCACATCAATGCCAAGCTTCTCCAGAGGGGACCGAGCCCTCCCTGCTCCCCAGGCGATGACGCGAGAGCGGGGAGCCAGAACCCAAGGCGAGACCCTGACTGCCCACTCGACAACCTCATCAGACGTCGTCCTGGGGTCAGCGGGCGCTGTGCAAAATCGGGCTGGTTCTGAGCAAACTGAAGCAGATGTCGAGGCGAAACGAGGAAGTCTCCCCCTACAACTGGAACTCCTTTGGCTTAAGATACGGCAAGAGGCTGGCACTCGAGCCGGAGACATGAGAGACGTGGGTAGAGATCGCTCGCACACTGTTGGAGGCTATTGTCAGCTGTAACGTTCTTTATTTGTCGAACTGCGATCCGTACTTGGTGATCAGTTGTCATTAAAGTGCATGGTTAATAATTCCCTGCGACTCACACAGTCGACTCATTTTCCCCCCTTCCTTTTGCAGCAATTAGCATTCCCCAAAAGGCTGAACGCAAGTGACCCTCTCACCCATTTTCAGGCTCCGCTCTCGAACACATACCCCCAAAGGATGACGCCTCCAACAATGCAACGCTTCCCCCCCACCCCCCACCCCCAGCACTGCTCTAGAGAGTCAGCAAATTGCCTGACCCATTCGCCTGCAAAAATACACAGTCACTACACTTCACATTATATTCTTTCGAGTGCTTTGAGCAGGCCTCCCTACATGAAAGCTGCTGTAGCAAGTGCAACTATTATTCATTATTATAAATGATGTTGTGGTTATTATTATTATTATTATTTTTTATGATTATAATTATTATTAAAGATGGCGATTTCCTGTGAAGCGCTTTGAGGTGTTCTGACCTGATAGCCACCGGATCAAACACAGTCAGGCTGAAGAGGGTCAAGCTGTGAAGATCGTGCCGTGTCTTCTCGCTCACACACACATCGGTGCACTTCAACAGCAACAGCGACAACTTGCATTTATATGGAGCCCCTCACAGCGGCGGAGTCTGGTGCTGAGCTTGTGGGGGGGGGGGGGGGGAGGGTGGAGGAGGTCACTGTAAGCACGGTTTGAAGACTGACTGACAACGTGGGAAAACGTAGCTGTGGAGGAGAAAATATATGAGCTGTGCACTGGCTTGGGAATCTGTCAAACCTGCCACACGCCCATCTCTGCCAAGATTTGCTGGAAAGTCCTCAGGCAGTCACAGAGAGAGAGGGAGAGCGCTGCTCTGGATCAATAGGCAATGGGAAGGAAAGGGCTGAAATGGGAGTCGGGTGTGGAATGTTCACAGGGAATTATTTAAGGAATATTTAGTCAAATGTCAAGACGGGCGAATGTTTTAAGGAAACGACTGAGATGTGGTCTTGAGGACATCCATCTTAAGAACATAAGAATTAGGAGCAGGAGTCGGCCATTTGGCCCCTCGAGCTGCCCCGCCATTCGATAAGATCATGGCTGATCTTCAGATCTAACTCTAATTACGTGCCCTATCCCCATAGCCCCCCTAATTCTTCTGTACTCTAGAGAATACAGCCCCAGTTTATTCAGCCTATCCTCATAGGTCAGTCCCCTCATCCCTGGCACTAACCGAGTGAATCTACCCTGCACCCCCTCGAGGGCAAGTATGTCCTTTTTTAAATAAGGAGACCAAAACTGCACACAATACTCTCGGTGCGGTCTCACCAAAGCCCTATACAGTTGCAGCGAGACTTCCCTACTCTGGTACTCTAAACGTTTTGCAATGAACGCTAACGTGCCGTTCGCCTTCTTAGTTGCTGCTGCACCTGCAAACTAACTTTTTGAGACTGGTGTACAAGGACACCCAAATCCCTCTGAACACTAACACTATCTAATCTCTCCCCCTCTAGAAAATAATCTGTTTTTCTATTTTTTCTACTTTGGTGAATAACTTCACACTTCCCCACATTAAATTCCATCTGCCACCGACTCGCCCACTCCCCTCGCCTACCTATATCCCATTGCAATCTGGTGGATTGAAGTGGGGGGGAGATAGGGGAGGGGAATACCAATGTTCACTTGCTTCTTTGTCCAATTTTCAGGTCAGTCACTTTACCTTAAAGTGATTCACTGGGTGAAACTTCTTGTGGCTTGACTTTGCAATCGATACAGCGCCTTATCATGTCTTCGAGGCGTCTCAAAGCGCTTCACAGTAGATACCGTAAAGTGAATTGACTGTATATTTTGTGGGCGAAACGCGGCAGCCAGTTGCGCACGGCAGCGTCTTGCAAATATTAACCGTATACAAAATAAAATATACAATGTAGAAAAACAAGGTTTTCAAACGGATTCGCTTCATATCACTATATTGCTTCTACTGCCCCTTGAATGTTTATTCCTGGAAACGTGAGTGTAAAATGGTGGGAAATGGCTGTGTATTACAACAGGAATGCTCTGGGATAGATAGTTAATGTTGCGGAACATTGGGTCCATGCGTAATAGAAGGGCATTGTGAAACGGAGAGGCTGCTTGGCTCTCGCTTCTTGCTTGGAGAGGGTCCAGTTATCCGTGTTCGGAAGGCATGGGAATTCTTAGGGAATACTTACTGAGCGTATTGGAAGCTGGCCTGAACTGTTGCTTGAGTAAACACGGCTTTGGAGGCAAGGCTTTCGGGCTCTCTAGCTATCAGACAGCTGCCATTGTAAACGTTGTTCACCCACAAACCACATAACCACTGATTGCACTTTACACTTTACAGTGGATTGTCCTCTTGATGTGCAAATGTAAGGATTATTGTTATTATTATTAGTCACACACATTCAGAATCCAATTTATTCGTTGTTTCATTCCACTTTAAATATCTGATTAAGCGGTGAACAGACTGTGGTATTCAACGTTAGGGGTTTCCGACACGTTGGACCCCATCCAGAAATCCCACCCGGGCTTAAACAACCGTTTATGGGAAACTGCTGAGAAACACAGCAGCCAGTTGCGCACATTAATGATGGACGGACACTTAAGAGAGTAGGGGGGATTTGGTGAGAAGGGAGCCTTGTGGGATTAGGGTAGGGGACAATTCGGAGTGTCATGGAGTGGGGGGGGAGGGGAAGTGGATTGGGGTAGAAAATGAAATGGTGCTGAACTCAACCTTCGTTGTTGAAGTCCAAGTGGTCCAAGGCAGAAACGAGAGTCATCCTTGCGAACACAATGGGCTTTCCTGGGAGTGCTCAGTGATTTCATGGCACGATGACGTCAATTGCAATGGAGCTGGTGCAGATGTTAATCCATTGCAGGATGTTTTCATCTGACCTCTGCTCTCGTTAAAACATCTCAACAGAGGGTAGGACCACTGTTTGACGGGGACAAGCAACATCCAATGAGAAGACAGTTGTGGGAAATAGCTGAGGATGGTAAGCATAAAACCGGGATTAGATGTGCGGTTTCTTCAGTGGAAAGTGGGTTGACAGCCACTTACGCACTGGAACTGGGGTTGAACATGAAGCGGCTGCTGGCACTTTGCTGTCTCCTTGCCTCGACCTTCGCCTTACAAAGGTAGGAATCTTTACTCTACGTCACTCTTGGAAGATCCACTAATCAAGAGTGTTTTTTTGGGGGGGACCGTGACAAATGGTTTGATTGCTGAGTGAAAAAAAAGTGAAGAAAGCGGCGTTTCTTTCACGATCAATTTAGATAATAATAATAATAATAATCCTTGCATTTGATATAGCGCCTTACCACATCTTTGAGACGTCTCAAAGCGCTTCACAGAATTTGGGGGAGAGAGGAAGCATAAATGCCAAACTCCCACGATAAACGTACTTCGTTAATTCCAACTGTCAGGCATTTTTTGGGGTGATTAGCTTCACATTCAAAAATAAAAATAATAATAATTTGGTCACTCAACCCACGACTGTTTGTGGGACGCTGTTGTGTGCAATTGGTTACCACGATTTGCCCACAAAATACACAGTCACTCCTCTTCACACTATATCCTGAGAAGCGCTTTGAGACGTCTCAACGATGTGACAAGTCTCTGTATCAAATGCAAGGATTATTATTATTATTATTATTCTAACCCCCGGTGTGAAGGCAGATTTCCTGACCTGGTGTCTAAATGGTTCATAGTGAAACTGCAGAACGTAGAACCTCTCAGCAGGCGATTCTTTTCTCTTTTAATTGCTTTTTAAAACCTTCCGTTTTTTCTCCGCAGGGTGCCCATTAAAAGGATGCCATCCATACGTCAGTCGTTACGGCAACTTGGATTGCGACCCACTGATCTCCTCCGGGTGGACAGGAACAGCAGACTCTCTGGGAAGGTCCCGGGAAATAGAACCGCTCCTACAGTCCTCACAAACTATCTGGATGTAGGTGTGCTTCACAGGAGCCTGGCTCCTCTCACCCACTCAGCTCCACTTGCTCACAAAGACCCCCCCCCCCCGCCGCCCGCCAGTGACTCTCGAATCTCTTCGCTGTCTCAGCCCACTGTCACTTACACAATCTCCTCCAGTCCTACTCTACGCTTCAAAGACGTGATAAGGCGCTATATCAAATGCAAGGATTATTATTATTAATATTATTATTATCGCCCTGACCTCTTCTGACTCCAGTCTACTGCTCATTCCTCATCCCCACCATCCCGCCATGTGATCAAGCCTTCAGCTCTTAACAACTGCCGTGCGCAATTGGCTGCCGTGCTTAGCCCACAAAATACACAGTCAATCTACTTTCCAATCTATTCTGCGATTGTATAAGCACTATTTATTATATTGCTGTTGTTTTCTTGTCCTCAGACCCAGTACTACGGGGAGATCGGCATTGGCACTCCCCCACAGACGTTCAAAGTCGTCTTTGACACCGGCTCGGCAAATCTTTGGATTCCATCTGTGAGGTGCTCCCTTCTCTACTCTGCCTGTTGTGAGTACGCTACAGGCTACGTGAGGCTAGAGTAGACATGAGGATAATAATAATAATAATCCTTGCATTTGATATAGTGCTTTATCACGTCATCGAGACGTCTCAAAGCGCTTCACAGGATACACTGTCAAGTGGCTTGACCGTGTGTTTTGTGGGCGAAACGTGGCAGCCCATTGCGCGCAGCATTGGAGTGTCATCTTAGACTTAAGTGATTCCAAGTCCTGAGGTGGGGTTTGAACCCACAACCTTCTGACTCAGGGTTTTAAGTGCCGCACTTTCACCCCATTCTGTCTAAGGTCACCCAAAGCTGTGAGGAATTATTTCTGCACTTAGGTGGCGCTACAGATCATTGGCCAGATACGTCTCTTGGTGTTTATATGCCCACTGGGTGGCAATCAAAGGTAAGCGAACAAAAGGAAAATTACAAAATAAAAGTTCTGGACAAATACAAGGAGGAAAAAATGATATATTTAAGTGTCAGCCTGGCTCAGTTGGTAGCACTCGCATCTCTGAGTTAGAAGGTTGTGGATTCAAGCCCCACCTCAGGACTTTGAGCTCCTATCGTTCAGGCTGACACTCCAGGGCAGTGCTGGGGGGAACCCTGCATTGTCGGAGGCGTCGAGTGAGACGTTAAACCAAGGCCCAGTCTGTCTGTGCGGGTGGACGTAATTGGAAAACAGTAGGTAGCTTCTTCCTGTGTTCTGAACCCTCGAGATAAATTGTTCATTCACTTCACGGCTGTTTGTGGGACATTGTTATTTGCAAATTGGCTTCTGCGTTCACCTACGGATCTGACAGTCACTGCATTCTGCAGCATTTTTTAGCACAAAAATATTGCTTGAACATTAAAGGTTGTCTGTCAAAGGCAAAGATTATAATCCTTGCATTTGATGTAGCGCCTTCTTGTCATTGAGACGTCTAAAAGCGCTTCACAGAATATATTGTAAAGTAGATGGACTGTACAGTATATTTTGTGGGCGAAACACAACCAATTGCGCACGGCAGTGTCCCACAAACAGTCGGGGATTGAAGTTACCAATTTATTATTGTTGTTTTCTTGAGGGATTATTAACCCTCGGAAATCGATTCCCCCAACTGATTAACAAGAAGATCCCTACTTACTAAGAGGTAAACAGAGGTGTGTGAGTGTGTGTGCAGTGTGTGGAAAACTTGGCTACGGTTTCGCCCTGCTCGGGAATCAAACACGAGTCCTCTCGCTTGTGAGGCGAGTGCTCTAAACACTACGCTACGGGACTCCAAATGCAAAGGTTTTGTTGAGTGAAAAGGTACTTGTTTTGTTTCCTGCCTACAGCTTCCCACAACAGGTACGACTCGTCATCTTCAAGGTCATATGAGCCGAATGGCGCAGGATTTGCTATCCAGTATGGATCGGGTAATGTCAGGGGATTCCTCAGCCAAGACATCGTGATGGTGAGAAGCAGTCAATAAATCGCTGGTCCGTCTATTCGGGTGGATTTTTGAGATCAACAACAGCAGCTTGCATTTATGCAGAGCCCCTCACGGAGGGTAGCACTGTGGGAGTTTCTTTCTCTCTCTCTCTCTCTCTCTCTCCCAGTGTCCTGGCCAATAATCCCCCGAATAAAATTGGACACTCACTACACGACTGTTTGTAAATTGCTTGTACACCATTTTATTGGCTGCCGCCTTTGCCAAAAGAATCCATAGTCGCTACACTTTACAGTGCATCCTGTGAAGCGCTTTGAGACGTCTTGACGACGTGATAAGGCGCTGTCTAAAATGCGAGGGTTATTATTATAGTGATCGCACACTCCACTTAATACTTCGACTGAGTAGCTGTTTATTCAGCAGCGTGAGAGCTACTGGCAGTTGTAGGGAGCTGTTGTTTATCTAACAGCGCACAGGGGCTCGATCGCTGTGTGACTGTTGGTGTTGCTGTTTATTCAGCGGTCTGAGGGCTCCCACTGTTTCTGTCTAAATAAACATAAAGTGTGCGTGTGTGTGGTGGTGGGGGGCGGGTGTAGGTTGGGGGAATCAGCCAGAGAGAAAAATCGGTAAAAAAAAGGCTCTGTTTCCGCTCAATGTACAATTTCCTGCCAAGCCAATGCTGCCTCCAGAAGCCATTGGCATCTGGAAAATGCAGCCCATTGTTTGATGGAATTAGAAGAAATTCCTGGGAGATTAGGGTGCCTGTACCTTTTTTTGTGGATTCCTGTAGCGTGGTTGTTAGAGCACTCGCCTCTCAAGCGAGAGGACCCGGGTTCGATTCCCGGGTCAGGGCGAAACCTTATGCAAGTTTCCTTACTCCACACGCCTCTGTTTTCCGAGCATTAAGTAGGAACCCAGATGCTAGTCGATCGGTGGATCGCTTTCCAGGGGGTTATAATCCCTTCAAACAAAATAATAATTTGGTCACTCAATCCACGCCTGTTTGTGGGACGCTGCTGTGTGCAATTGGCTGCCGCGTTTCGCCCACAAAATACACAGTCAATTCGCTTTACAATAAAATTCCGCAATGCGTTTTGAGACGTCTGAACGACGTGTTAAGGAGCTGTATCAAATGCAAGGATTATTATTATTATTATTATTAACAACAATCGAGGGTGGGGGGAGCCCGACCCCTTTAATAAAAGGGATCTCACAATGCAATGCATTGGTCATGAAAACTGAACCCAGCAACAGTGTCATAACCTTAACCGTCTTGCTCAACCCCGTGCAGGTGGCCAATATTCCGGTGATCCAGGTTTTCGCGGAGGCTGTGGCCCTATCGACCGATCCCTTCATCTTTGCTAAGTTCGATGGGGTCCTGGGGATGGGATTTCGAACCATCTCCATCGATGGCATCCCTCCCGTGTTCGACAGGATTTTGGACCAGCACGTTCTTAAGGAGGAGGTCTTTTCAGTCTATTACAACAGGTGGGTTCCTGAACTCCCCGCCCCCTCCCCAATCCCCCCATCCAAACAGCAACAACTTGGGTATATATACTATAGCGTTCAATAAAATCGGTCGCTCACGTGGCTGTTTGTGGGACACTGCTGTAAACTGCCTGCCACGTTTCGCCCACAAAATACACAGCCACTCCACTTCACACCGTATGTGCTTTGGGAGGTCTCGACGACGTGATAAGGCGCGGTATCAAATGCAATGATTATCAAATTGTGTTGTGTATTATGTTATACTGTATTATATTCCTCTCTTCTCTCACACAGGGATTCCTATGGCTCTCCTGGCGGAGAGCTAATTCTGGGAGGGACAGACCCATCCTATTACACTGGAGATTTCCACTACCTGCAACTCAGCAAGAAAGGATTTTGGCAGATTGAGATGAGAGGGTGAGAGCGAACAGATGCTACAATCCCTGTGGAATTCAGCACAGAGTTTCACAGTAATTCCTTATTATGCCCTTATCTCAATATGATAAAGCACTGTACCAAATACAAGAATTATTATTATTATTATTAAGACTTTTCTTTTCGACCCTGGTCTTTTGCTCACCTTCCCCTCTGGCCTTGCTCCTCACTTACCCCCAACTCCCACCCCCGGCCCCAGCTCGGGCTCCCAGCCGGCTCTGTGAAGTGCTCTGAGCTGCGTAAACGTAACTCGTTGCTGTTGTCTCTCTCCAGGATTTCCGTTGGGGGCGAGATACTGTTCTGCAGCCAGGGCTGCGCAGCCATCGTGGATACCGGAAGCTCGTACATCTCAGGCCCGGCTGCTGAGATCTCCTCCATTGTAACCTCAATCGGAGCCACTTCCTTGGCGGAGGGAGAGGTAAGGCTGATAGACCCCTCACTCAACCCACTGGTATATAACCCTCCTATGTCAGAGGTCACACAGAGCCAACGAGAGGCTACAGAGTGCTGTGAAGACCACAGTCCACACAGTTGTAGGAAGTAGGGCTTTTCAGGTGGCGTTTTCAGGAGAAGTAGAGAGAAGGTTATGGGTTCAAGCCCCACTTTGGGACTTTGAGCTCACACAGTGCTGGAAGAGCGCTGAATTGTCGGAGGTGCCGTACTTTGGATGAGACGTTAAACCCAGGTCCCGTTCAGGTGGGTCGTTAAAGATCCCGTGGCGCTATTTGAAAAGCGAATGGAGTTTCTCCTGATGTCCGGGATCTTTAACGTACTGTACGACACTGTACTAGACTGTGTGAGCTCAACATTCCCAATGTTTTGGCTTGAACCCACAACCTTCTGACTTAAAGAGACGAGACCACTACAAACCGAGCCAGGACAACGCTTAATTATTATCGTTACTATAAGTGGAGCCAAGTAATAGGGGAGCGATATGCCTCTTCTTTTGCCTGATTAAACTGTCCACAATTTGAGTGTCACTGTGGCCACGTGTCCCCTGGTATGTTTGTGGGTTTTAGCAGGAGTTTGTAAAAAATTGGTTCAAAGTGACTGGAGGACAAGAGTTCTCTTGTATTGACGGTGTTTGGGTCAATTGCTGCTGGTGTTAATGCTCCACACTGACATACTCTCCAAGCCCTGAATGTTCCTTTGTACAATGAACCCTCTTGTTCATTCCTACTGAAGGATATTGCGAAAGAGCCATGTCAAGTGACGTCTCTATCACCGCAGTTTGGACTAATGAGTGTCTAAGAGGCTGAGCTAAATTGGGGGCACTTTCCCCCAATGCGATTGAGGTCTTTAAGATTCTGGAGCAGAGAAATTGTGTGTGGGGTGGGGTGTGTGTGAGAAACTGATGAGTTGTGGAATTAGTGAGGCGGTAGGGGCACAGTGCTAGAATTATTAGTAGAAGAATCAGGGGAGAGGTTAGAAGGAAATTCTTCACTCAACGCCTTGTGGGATTCATTGAAGATGTGAGAACATTCCTGAAAATGAAAAATGTGTGGACATGTGTGGCTAACAACACCTCCACTTGGCTATGTATTTTTTGCAAACTTACCATTGAGATTGTACAGCGACATGTTACGTAAGAAAATTCCTATCTCGTTCTCTTTCTCACCCCCCACCCCCACTTCCGTTCCCCCATTCCCCCGTCCCCAGCCCCATCCTAATGGAACCGCAAAGCGCTTCACGGAATAACACTGTAAAGCGTAGGGACTGTATTTTGTGGGTGAAACGCGACAGAGCGTTTGGTGAGACAGAATGTGCTGCAATCACGTGAATGGAAAGGGTTGGTGCCCGCTGGGAGCAGAGACTTACCCTAAGAAATCAAACTCTATCGTGGAGTATTTGGCCTGGATTAAGGCCCAGAATCCCCAGAAGAAATGAGATGCCTGAAAAAAAAATATATAATCAAAATGAAAACCAGATCGCTGTGCTTCACATCAGGAATTCACACACTCGCTCACTGCAGGCCAGCAAACACAAACCACAACATGACTCGCATGTTATGTAATTCCCTGCATTCGATATAGCGCCTCACCAATTCCTCGAGGCATCTCAAAGCTCTTTGCAGAAAACACCACAGAATGAACTGACTGTATATTTTGTGGACTCAACGCAGCAGCCCATTGCGCACAGCAGTGTTCCCCACAAACAGTCATGGACTGAGTGACTTCTCATTTTATTTTCTCGAAGGGATTATTAACCCCCGGAAAAGCGATCCGCCAATCGACTAACAACCGGGTTTACTTACTTACTGCTGGGTAATCAGAGGAGTGTGGCGTTTAAGGACATCCTCCTGACATGAAAGGCGCTATACAAATGTAATTTGTTGTTGTGTGTGTGGTGGTGGGGGTGGGGTGTGTGTTGGTGGGAGTTAAACGAATTGGGTTTGTTGTGGATTACTAGTCTCCTTAGTTGGGGGTGATGGAAAAGGGAGGAAGAGAAAGGAATTTTTGCACGCAGGTTACCAAAATATTTCTTTCAGTTCAAAAAAAAAGTAATCCAAAGAAAAACAAAGGATGCACAGAGTGTTGGGCGGGGAGGAGAGAGACAGCTAAGGGTCGAAACTGATTCTCTGTGCTGGTGTAAACAAGATACGGAGGACACAGAGCAAATCTGTGTTCAGGGTCACAGGCCGGAGAGAAGGAATGGTAAGCCCCTTCACCTTGAACATTGGTGACAACTGTTACTAGTTACAACAATCCTCGCATTTGCCGTGAGCGCCTTTCACTGCGGGAAAATGTCCCAAAGCGCTTCATAGGGTTTGGACTTGCGGCAAGCGAGAGGTTCAATTCCGGGGCGGGTCAGGGCGAAACCTTAGGCAAGCTTCCCTACTCCACAAACACGGCCTCTGTTTATCCAGCAGTAAGTATTCAGGGGGTAATAATCCCTTAAAAAAAATTGTTAATTTGGTCATTCAACCCACGACTGTGGGACACCGTCGTGCGCAATTAGTTGCCACGTTTCGTCCGCAAAAATCCACTTTATAACATATTCCGTGAAGCACTTTGAGACGTCTCAACGACGTGATAAGGAGCTGTATCAAATGCAAGGATTATTATTGTTGTTATTATTATTAACAACGGTCGATCAAACACGATAATGGGAGCAAGCGGGGCAGGAACGGGTTAAAACAAGTCTGTCTCCCGGACACGAAAATAACAAGTCACATTGCAGGGTGTAATGACCAAATTAGCTTCAAGCAACAAAAAGCCAAAGACCCAATGTTTACGTGTCTGCCCCCAGGCTGGTTGACGGATTGTCACTTGACTTTAGCTGGATACGACTTGTGGCCTGGGAGGGAGGGAGGGAGAGAGAGAGAGAGAGAAAAGGGCCCATTCTCTCTGGGGAGGGCTGTTGTGCAAGACTCTCTAAGTGGTCAGCTGGGCAACGTCAACTGGGTCAGTTTGAGAAGCCCCTCGCCTCGGAGGCAGAAGATCGTTTGTTCTTCCAGGTGGGGGGGGGGGGGGGGGGGGTGGGGAGGGGAGGGTTAGGAGGATACCAAATGCAAGTATTATTATGATTATTACAGGTGTTAATGGGAAGGACCTGGGTACTCACTAAGGCGAATTTGTTGACTTGGACAAACAGCGTGTGGACTTCGTCATTGGTCACCTCGCTGCCCTTCTTCGTGAATCGCTTGTAGGCCTCCAGGTATGTGGTTAGCCACTGGAGCTGGAAGTGCTTGTCTGGGTACAGGCTGTAATCCACCTCAGCGACTCCTGCCACACAAACAGCCAGTGTCACCCAAACCCCCCTCCCTTGGCCACAAGGCAAACAGCACAAAACCATTCCACCCACTCCAAGCATTTGATCTCCCTCCGCTCAGCGAGCTCCGGCCTGCTCCATGCCCCCCCCGCCCTGCCCGCCCCACCATCGGCGGTGGGGCCTTCAGACTCTCTGCCCCCCCCCGACCCCCACTCTTTGGAATTCTATCCCACAGTTGCTCCGCCTCGCTTGCCCCCCCCACCCCTTGCCTCCTTCAAGACCCTCCTCTTCGACCACACAATTGCGAGAGCTGACCAATACTCCGCACAAACACCTCCCCCCCAACCCCCCCACCCATCAGAGACAAAACCCTTCACTCTTCTCTGCTCTGAGATGTGAATCGAATCCAAGTCCCAGAGGTTCAAAGGTCATGTCTTTAGCGCACAACTGGGCATCGGAGAAATAAAATGGGTGCCAGCCCACCCCCACCCCCCCATTCGCTCGCTCAGTCAAACTTTAACCAAACTCGGCAGTGAGTCCTAGTTGCAGGAGTCTCTCTTGCGAAGCACTCCCTCCCTCACTCCCTCCCTCGCGCGCTCACTCACCCATTCACACACTCACTCACCCATTCATGCACTCACTCACCCATTCACGCACTCACTCACCCATTCCCTCACTCACTCACCCATTCCCTCACTCACCCATTCACACACTCACTCACCCATTCACTCTCGCACTCACCTGCAAACTCGTTGAAATGGTTTCCTATGTCGAAGGCCTGGTAGTTGTAGCTGGAGTATTCGTAGTCAATGAACTTCACCCAACCTGGCAAACACAGGGCAAGAATAAGCAATAAGAAGGCAGAAATGAAGGGGTTGAGGGGGGTGGACAAGGTGGGAGATGGCGCTGAGGATCAATCGATCCCCATCACTGCTCAGCTCAGAAACAGC